GTAAGCTGTCCAGCTGACCGTGTCAGATACTCGACGCAGTGTCCGCTCCTCTTCCTCGGTGGGGTACTCGCGCCCATCATCGTGGACATCGTGGATAGATGGCACGGCCGACACCACCGCGGTTTCTTTCTCGTTAATGGGGAGATGAGACTTCTTCTCTTCATCTGCCTGGATCTCTTTCTGGGGAACGTGGGCCTGTGCGACATAGACCAGATCGTCTGCGCCAACGGGATCACTCATCTTGGCGAACACGGGCCCTGACAGGGTCTAACTGGAGGGATGGAAAATGGATGGGAAAGACGATCGCAGAAGAAAAAAAAGGGATCAGCCTGGGGAACAAGGAACTAATAAAGCCTGGGAGGCGAGAAGCAGCCGGGAGACAAGCGACCTAGTGAACCGGTTGGGTGTTGCATTTGGGTAAGCTGCAACAGGCTCGCTTCGGGGCCACTATCAGTGCGCGGAGACTACTCCAGATGTCTCGAAGCTGGCTAGTGCCAAGGCCTAGTTTCCACCGGTGCAGCGTCGGAGATCGGGACCCAATATGGATGGTAGCCACTATCTACTTTGCATGACAGCCAGTATCACGCGATGGGTTGGTGCACTTCTTCGCCGCTGTCTATGCGGCCAGGCAGTGGGGAGGCTTATCCAGGGAGGTTCTAGCGTCCATCTAGAACGCACACAGCTGGCACCCGGACCTGCTCTGTTCCATGTTTCTGTGGCAAACATAGACGTTGCAGCCCGAGTGGCATGTGGTCCAGAGTGGATAAGAAACTGGGGGAAGCAGTGTGGGCAAATGAGGTAACGTCCATACGGGTGATTAATCTGAAGTACGCGCGATCATTTGTCCAAGTCCCTGCATGGTGGCGGACGAGCAGGATTAGCTTCCACTAGACATCGTGGATTCCTCGCGGTGGGAAGCGACGCTGCTATCGGACTATCTGAGGGCGGATTGAATAGGAACGGCGCCACTAGTCATGTCTGATGGCACCGGCTAAACTAGTCTATCTAGCTTTCTCGCCAACGCGGCAAGTGTAGTGGCTAATGCAGCCGGATGGATGTCCAACCGTGGGATTTTCCACAATCCCCGCACTCCCACGCGTCTCTCCTGGAGAGGCACAGGGGTGGCAGGTGGACACGGCGAGTAGGGGGCGTCTACTCTGTCTCAGCTCCCAACCACGCAGGATGGCTTGTAAAAAGCAAGTATGCGAGCTGGAAAGGAGTGAGACTCGGAGTCACCGAGAGAGCTGGGGTTAAGGCTGGCTCGGGGGGACCGTAACAGGAAGGATGGAGAAAAAAAAGCAAGTTCAGGGACCGAGTTGGCCAATGGATGAGGTCCAGTGAGGGCCAAGCATTGCGTGCTCTGACTGGTCCGAATGATGTCTCAGAAGATAAGCTAAACTGAACCATGGAAAGTACGACTGGTATATTATTGATAAAGGAAGCGGAATTAAAATGAGATATCGGGGAGTCAAAGATATGAAACTGATAGAGGCAAGTCGGTGATGACACCACCGCCAGCACTGATAACGGCATCAGCCGCAACCAATCAGGTCTGATAATCGTAAAATGCCAAGGCTTTGCTGGACTTGGCAGTGGAGCTTCGACGAAGCCAAGTGGGTGGAGGCCGAAAAGAATTATCCGGATACACTCACGCCGCTATCAGCCCGATTCCGTCCCCGGGAGGTGGATATCTTTGCCTGCTGCTACTGCTGCTGCACTCATCCTCATGCAGTAGTGTCTAAACTCCCAACGAGATGCCTGATTTATCCACCTATTTCTGACTCCGTAGCTAACCGGGATAATCAAGCTGAACTGATAGCTGCACCAATGGTCTGATGGTTCGAGCAGCTGCTGTGGACGGTTCGGGGATGCTTCCAGGATGGGCACGTCCCTCGTGGCCTCTCAAACCTTTACGTACTGGAAACCTATCAAGCATTTATGGACGCCTGACCTAGTCTCGGTTTGGATTAGTCTCCTCTCCAAATCCCGCTGTTGTAATCTCATCACGTGGGTATGGCCTGGGGCAGAAATTGGCTCACGTGTACCGCCATCCTCTATAGCATTGTCATGGTCACCACCACTATGTTCTTCAGAATCTTGACCCCAGGGTCTGGCAAACGACACATGGCCCGGCTGCTACGGGCAACTTAACCTTACTTATATGTGGGGTTGGCTCTACCTCTCGTATTTTGCAGGGAAAAGCACGCCTTATTCCGGGATTCTGATTCCTGCGGAAAAACGATTAAGCTTCATATTGTTGACTCTCAAACCGTCCTAACGACGGTCTAGCATTCGGAAGTATTCCGACTGCCGACATACCTTAGTTGCCGATATTTCACCTTTGAAGTCCATGCTTCAGTCCCAGCAGTGGACAAGCGCTAGTCAACTAGCTTGGACGCATTACGCGTGCTTTCCCCAGCAAGCGCCTTCCCTCGGGCGTAAGCTGTGGTCACAGAGGCAACGGATACACTTAGAGAGTGTCTGGTCACTTCATATTCTGCTAAGTACCATCATGTATCAGCCCTACGGACTCCAGATATAAATTCTGGACGGCTCTTGGATGCCATGCCGCTATGCTGATCTTCCGACCAATAAGCGGCGGGGAACGCCCCCGCGAGGCTGAGGCTGACTCCATCGCTTCATCCCACAAAGACCTCTTCCTCCGCTGATGCTACCTAATGTACATAAGCATGGAGAAGTCTCATGCAGCCATCTACTTGGAATTGGACGATGACCGTATTGACCAGCTTATGCGGGCCGCCCACCGGGGCTTGCTTCCCGAGGTTCAATCCCTCCTCTATGGCGTTTCCCCCAACGTCCAAGACCAGACCGGTCGGACGGCCTTCTCCTGGGCCGCATCCAGTGATCTCTCACAGGTCCAGTCCTTAGGAAAGCTGAAGGATTGCGATATTCTGTTGCAGTATCTCCTGGACAGAGGTGCCAATCCCGATCTTGGTGACCACCATGGGGAAACGCCTCTCCACTGGGCCGTGAAAGGTGGGGATCGCGAAATGGTAGACCTCCTCTTGAAGAAGGGAGTGTCCTCCGATATCGCAGACTCCCGTGGTCGTACACCATTATCACGTGCAGCGGGACAAGGACTCTGCACCATCGTGCAGTTATTGCTATCCACTGGCAGAGCGGATCCAGATAGCAAGGACAGCCGGGGCCGGACTCCGCTATCATGGGCTGCCGAAAACTGGCACTTGGATACCGTGCGCGCATTAGTTGCGCACGGGGCTAGCGCCGATATCCACGACCACGAGGGGCAGATTCCACTCTGGTGGGTCATCAGTAATCATAACAAGAGACGAGAGTCAAACGGGCAGCATTCGGAGGAATTTCAGCAGTGGCTCGCCGCTCTCGGACCGACACATGGGGTGGAGCCCATGACCAAGGCCCGGCGAACATTTCTAGCCTGGGCGAGTGAACGCGGCGATACAGCGCTTGTACAGGACCTGTTGAAGACGACCTGGGCAGACCCTAACTCCATTGATCGTTACAGGAAGACTCCGCTAGTGTACGCGCTTGAATGGAGTCACTACGAGATAGCGGACATGCTGATGTCTGGCTGCGGAGACGACGCGGACCGTAAGCACGATGTTGTATCACTAAAGCTGATGGTCCAAGAGAGCCGAGCTCGATTGCTGAAACCATTCCTGGAGCGGTACAAGCCAGACCTGAGCACCGAGGATGAATCGAGTCCGATTCCCCTGATGAGGTGGGCGCTGCAGCAGGCTGATCGCTCGACCGTCGCTGTGCTTCTAGAACACAAGGCGGGTGTGGATGGGCTGGAAAACAGCGATTGGTTTGGTCCCTGCAGCACGTCCGGCGCAACAGCAAATCTGTTGTTGGCTCACGCCCGGACCGATGGTGCCTCAATTCCCGTGATGGATATGACTATCCCGGATGGTGATCGTGCCACATTAACAGCATTGTTAAGTCATCGGAGGCAAATGATGGCACTTGATGATGGCTACGATGGGCGCTACAGCCGTGGGCTGAAATCAAGCGTCGCTGTGGATATCATGGTCTCCCGGGATGGACGGCGTGCGGCGCGTTGGATCAACGACGATAATTTGTACCAAGACATAAAGGCAATGCCAAAGACGGCGGATGAGACACATCTCCTGTAAGTTGGTCAAACGAACAATGGCTCTATGAGAAACGTGATGCTGATGCAATTCAGACTCTTCCGGGAAAATCATTATTGGAACACATATTGCCAACTGACCGATACGCCAAATGAGCTACAAATTTCTCTCGGAAATAAAAGTCCTTGTCGAACGTTTTCACTGTTTGTCCGCCTAGACTTGAAAATCGGGACCTCCTTCACCGACGACCAGGACGACGACCGCAAGGTCCGCATTATCGAATGGGCCGTTCTGGAAGCGCCCCAGAAGACTATCCACTACTTCAGCAACCTCCCATACGGATGGATCCCTGAGAGTGACCTGGAGCTGGTGCAGCTGTTTATGCAAACATGGCGGGACGACTGGATCGCATTTTGCCGGGAGGCTCGGGGGTACTTGGGACGGCTGGTATGTTCTCGAGAAGTTTTATGTTGGGCGGCTGCTAATTACGCAGCGAACACATCAATTAACTGCTCGAGGCAAAGATGACCGCCTTATTGACTCCATCGCGGAAAGCATGCGGCAATGGACGCAAATTCAAGCATCGTTAGCCGAGCAGCTCAGCCAGGCTAGGTATTTTGTCACGCAGTACCAGCGGTTCAGCGAGACGCGCAAGTTCAGTGAAAAGATGCAGAGTATGATAGATGGGCTAGACAAAGAGATATCAGGACAGATTGATAAGCTAGAGCAGACGGTGCGCGATTTGCTGCAAATTGTACGCTTCCCTTGTGGCAGTCGGTGAGCGTACGGCTAATTTGGTAGGAATTTGCGTGGGTGTCAATTAATGAGGCGCACCGGTCGACTAGCTTGGCGACGAGCATGAAACGGCTCAGTTGGATTACGGTATGTCTGCTTTCTTGTTTCAATCATGGCGACTAACGGATGGGTAGTTCATTTTTCTTCCCTTGACATTTGCGTCGGTGAGCATACCAGAATCCTCTGACATGTCTAATCTAACTGAGCAGAGTTTATTCGGCATGAATGTGGATGTCCTCAGCGACAACCCTTCATGGCGTTGGTATCTTCTCATTGGAGGAGTTCTACTGCTATTGACGGTGGCAGTATGGCTATCGAGCAAGTTTACGAATGTGCGTGTCCCCGGACCGGTCTGGACTTTCACTTCACTAACCTTTACAGATTGAGCGATGGGTAGAGAACCAAGCAGAGCAGCTTATCAACGGACGTCAGAAGAAAGAGACACTTATGTGGTGATACCCACATTAACTGGTTAAGATTCACACCACACACACCAAGTGATACAATCTCATCAGCCACACTATATACCTACGCATCTCAATGAAGGGACTTATCTAAACAGTGAAATCACGAGCATGCACTCCCTGGCGAGTCAGAAGGGCAGTCAACAGCGCGCGCACATCGGTGAGGATCTCAGAGGCGGTCGTCGGGACGGGAAGGGCGGCAGATCCAGAGGCAGCAGCAGCAGAGGGAGCAGCAGAGGGCGTAGCGATGACGGGGGCAGAAGCAGAGGGGGTAGCCGTGGCAGTAGACTCGGAGCTGGAGGTAGTCGCAACCGAGGTCGTCGAAGCAGCGCTGGTAGAAGACGGAGCAACAGCCACATCCTGAGTAGGGGTAGCAGCGGCAGCAGTGGTAGCCTCGACAGACGTAGTGACAGCAGAAGTGACAGACGAAGTAGCAGAGGTAGTAGCAGCGGCAGCAACAGTAGTCGAAGAACTCTCACCACCACTAGCACTAGCACTGCTTCCATCCCCAATACTCTTCGTCAAATCGCTCTTCTCAATGTAAATCCCACTCCAGAACCAATCCTCGGTCCCATCGCCAGTCAAACTCAACACACCAACATGGAAATCCTCCCCATTGGAGCTCGCACTCGCACTAACAGGACTAACCACCTCCGTCAAGGCATCCGATCCATTCGACGCCCAAAGCCCAACCTTCTGATTATCAAAATCGATATCATACGCAAAGTTGTACCACTTGCCAGTCTCCAGCTCCACAGAGTAATGCGTATCCCCTCCGGCATTCCACTTCAGCGTGTTATCCTGGTACTGCAGCTCCGTGAAATGGCTCTCAAAGAAGGCGATCTGGTGCTCGCTTGACGAGGACGGGGGGTTCGTGCTGCTGGCGCTTAGGGAAAAGTGGTAGTATAGGTGGCCGGAACCCAGGTCGGAGGCGGAGGACGAGGGGGACATTTGAGGGATCAGTTCGGTGCGTTGCATGGATTGGCCTTCCCAGAAGGAGGTGTTGTCCTGTATTATCCCCCAAGGGGGACGGGTTAGTTTGTGGGTTTCGGGGAGGATAAAGGTATGGGAGGAGTACAAGTCTGGTACGCAAACCCTGGGCATCGCTCGCTGCTGGGTTCTTGTAGTCGCTGGATAGGGCTAGGTATTCCGAGGTTTCGCCGTCGCCGTGGATGTACCATTGCCAAGGCGCGATTTCGTTGCTCCATGACCCTGTTGTTTCTTCTTAGTAGTGTTTGTGTGAGGGAAGGAGGGGAAGGAGAAGCAATACATTCATCAAAGTCAGCGACAGTATAGGACGAGTTGAAAACGCCGCTCCACAGTACGGATCCGGCCAGTGTGGAGGCGGGGAAGGCGAGGAAGGCAGCTCCTTTCATGGTGATATCCGCGTGGTATGTAATGAGTGGCTTGTAAAAGTAGAGAAGAGAAAGTGAATAGAAGTAAAGAATGGATGTGACCGGCACAATGAAGAAAAGAATGGTGGTTAGAGAGAGAATGGAATCATGGGCAGTGACAGGTTTAAGTAGGGCTTGGATGCTGGATACAGGCTTGCGGGTAAACTGAAACAAGTATCCGCTGGAGGTTTCATCACCGCCGCTGTTAGATTAAGATTGTTTCAAATTGATCGAACAGGGTCCATGACATGACCGACTTGAGACTGACAGTGGTAATCAATTGATTATGTTTAGTTTAAGGGTGGCAGCTATGCAGACGCTAATTGGTTGTGCTCTGTCCATGCTTGTCGAGTCCACACATAGGTTATTATAAGTTAACGCCTTGCACATGTTTGCCCGCTCCAGCACGTCCACTCAGTGCCTAATTGTATCTTGCTCACAACGCAAGAACCGCCTCCTTCAGCTTGGCGAAATTAGGCGTTCCCAGCCCCGTCGCCGGATCCCATCCCGTCGTGGCATTCCAGCTCGCCCACGGGATCACTCCAGCGCCCTCCACATCGCCTTGGCAGCCCACTGCCTCGCCACTGGTAATATCGTTCAGACTCTTGTAGCCGCTAGAGTACAGCCAAGGGTTCAAGAAACCCAAAGATGTCTTGTTAGCCCGCAGACGGGCATCGTTCAGCAGCGCCACGACACCCGCAAACACAGGACTAGCGCCAGAAGTACCAGCCACAAGGCCGAGCTCACCATCGATATAAGTCAAGTAGCTATTGCACATTAGCAGATGCCCATACACTCTTTTGAAACCGATACATACTAAGGAGATCCTGCAAACGCAGACACGTCAGGGAACGCGCGACCGCTGAAGTTGGTGTATTGCTCGTAGTACTTCTTCGTCGATGCCGAGATGTACTTGTCCAGGTAGGTCCCCACCTGGTCCGACTGGTATGACGGCTGCGAGAAGTAGTTGCTGAAGCCACCAGAGCTGTCCACCCAGGCGACTTCGGGCACGTCTTGGGTGCCACCGACCGCGGTGATGTAGGGACATGTTCCTGGGAACATGGGGGTGAATTCGGTCTTGTCGGTGCCGTCGTTGGACATGCATGCGCCGCCAACACCTGGATTTGTTAGTGTATTCGTCATGTTAATGGAATGGGGGAAGCTCACCAGAGTCGCCAGACGATTCAAGAATGGAGATACCACGTGTGCCCATCAGGCCGATCAGGTTGCACACGCGAGTGGCGTAGGCGATGGGGACAGTCTATCCCGTTAGCAGGCATTTCATGTGGAAGGTAGGATGCTTACATCTTCGTCATCGCCGTATGAGTTGCTGATGACTAGCGGCAACTCGTCGTTGGTCTTGGCCAGCAGATACTCGTAATACTGCAGGTAAGGCTCGTTCTCGTCGGTCGTGGTCTCGACGTCGGGAATGAACGGACTGATAAACCTGATTAGCCTTGATTCTGTCTCTCGTCTTCAGAATACTCACGGAGATCCACCGGTAATATACTCCGTCACCGGCAAAGGATGAGAAATGCCAACGATGTTCTCCACATCAAGGTCAGCTTCACCATCAGGATCATTCTCCTGGTTGTTGATTCCCCCGTTGATGGTCTCAATAGTGAAGCTCTGCTCCGGGATGTCAAAGTACTGGGTGAACAGATCCAAGTCCGAGTACAAGGCCGACTCGTTCAAGAAACTGCCAAACCCAACACGACTTCCCGAAGATTTCTCGGGCGTGTAGTCAATGCTATACTGCTCCTTGAGACAATCCGGGGTGATGTACTCGCACACATCACTGCTTTTGCTGCTGCTCTCCTTGGTAGTCTGCGAAGAACGCACAGCCGCCGAGCGGGCAGCGTTAGATTTCCCAAAGAAAACAGTTGGCGAAATGAGGTCAATGGACCCAGCCAGATCATCAGGAACAGAGTACTTCGTCGTGCGCAGCTTCTGGGTAGATCCGCTCTTGTACACCGAGAAGGTGGTGTTGAGAAGCTGATTTGCTGTGCCCACAGTGGTGGCAAAGTTCAGCAGACCACCTTCCTTATGGATCTTGGTGACGCCATTCTCCTTCAACCAAGAAACAACAGCAGCGTCATCAGCGAGGGGAAACTGCTCATTGATGTCGTCCAGATCCAAGAACTGGCCGTACGTGTCCTTGCCAGGGGTGGACACGGCCAGGAGCTTCTCCTCCAGCTGGTCCAGGTTCTGGCGCGCCAGAGCCACAGATAGAGAGATGGTGGAGCTGGTATCAGCAGCCTCGACGAGCTTCCAGTCACTGGGGACAGACTTGATGGTCTCCAGAACGACACTGCCGAGCACAGGGGCAGCAAGGGCGAAGCCTGCCGAGAGGCGGGAGAAGGCGACCATGGCTGAGGAGGGAAAAGCAAAAACGACCCTGGGTGGAGAGCAGAGCAGACAATGAGGAGGGACAGTCTGTTTATTATAGATGGGGTAATTTGATCAAGCCATTCTGCAGTAGATTTGGGCCGTCGGAGGGCGGGCGGGCTCCGGCGTGGTGGAACAGGTCACGGTGCATGATGCATCCCTTGCATGCAGGGACGCGGTGAAGACATTCCCGCCAACCCTATAATTCCCCTGGAAGTTTGAAGCCGCCAGAAAGCTTATAATGGGACGAATTACCACACAATAACTGCATCTCAGTACGAGAATGAAGATAAGATACCCTTTACAAGTCTGAAAGGATGCAGATGTTCCTGCAGCAAATGCAAGCTACAGCAGAGCTTAGCCGCGGCACCCGGCACTCGGAGGAGCGACGGAGTCCGTCTGGGAATAGATTAATCGGCAGAAAAAGCACTGCGGACACTATGGAGACACTAACGGCACAGATAGGCGTTCTGCAGCAATAGTGGCTTATCAAGACCATAATTGAGGGGAACCCGCTCGGATGATACCATTGTTTGCCGAGATGGCCAGGTTTCCCTCGTGAGGTGATGCAAACCGTGAGGGGAATGTAGTATTGTATGCAGCTGCCTGGATAACGCCATTGATTCCCTTTTGCTCGGATAAGAAAATTTGGTAATCGCAATCAAACTCACATTAGAACAATAATCAAGTCTCTAAGCAATCACACAAGAATAATGCCTCATCCCGCCGGGCTTATCCCAACCATCACTTCCACTACTTCCGCTTCACTGTCTCCACAACCCACTCGATCCGTCCATCCTCCGCCACCTCTCCGAACATAAATGTCTCTGCAGCACTCACTTTTCCATCTGGCATCGTCATGGTAGAGCAGTGTCTATCCGCAAATTGGTTTCCGTCGCGCAGGAACTGCGTAATCTTGAGCGTCACACTCCCTGGTGGAAGACTTCCTCGCAGCCACTTTATGTGTGCAACAAAAGCGGAGAAGTCGCGCGTTGTCTCATCGTCGCGTTGTGTGAAAGTAGGCGTGAATAGCTTGGCCAGATCGGCTTCGGTAGTCTCAGGAGGGCCGCTGAAGAGGCTGGTTAAGGCCGATTCGAAGGTGGTGGCTTCGGAGGCAAATGTGGTGGAGGACATGGTGTGTGTCTTGCAGTATCCTACTTGGCTCTTGGGGCAAATCGCAATGTATAAATCAAATAATTGTAGAATCCGATGTTCTTCAAATTTTTGTCTGGTTATGGCATCATAGCAGCTCTGCATGACATATAAATACTGTTGCATGATGGGAGCCTAACATACATTCACTTAGGGCTTACGCCAACTGAGTTGTTGCCTTAGATGACCACAATTAGTATTGCTTTTAGAAATGACGGTAAATCTACTATGCCTGTATACAAACCAAATGTCTTTGTTTGATTCGCCTTTGTTGACAGATCGTGTATGCTGACGTGAGCGCTAGTGCTACCTAGGTACTATTCTGTGTTGGGTATTCCAAAGCACACCACAGAAACATTTCTCTTGTCAATGTTTAGCCCAACTTCTGACATCATAGCTTTTTAAAATCATATACCATCTAGATACGGCCACTTTATAAGTCAGCTAGAAGGGACTGCGAACAGTGCTTACACGTGACAGGTGTCAAGAACATTTCGATCATCAGCATCACCAACAGCATATGCCGCCTGGTATCGCTTAGTATCCAGCGCCACCCAGTCCTTATACCCACGAATCCATTGCTTGCAACCATCCACAAGGCTACATAACTGTGAGCTTGCATCTTGCAAGATCTGGTATTCCAGCTTCTGGAATTTCTCCAGCTTTCATATACACTCGCAGCTGTATGGTCAACACTCTCCTGCAAGGTGTAACCATCCGCCGCTAGTACACCCTGTTCCAGAACTAACCAGGTTGGCGTGCCTCAACAATGAAACTGTGAATATCATTCGCCAAGCAGATATTATGGTTCGTATAGCGACAAAGTTTCTGCACATCCGGTCGATAGAACTCCTCTCGACTGACGGGACCACAGTTCGATGCATCTGCCAACGCTAGACAAGAACCCGCGCCACTTGTATGGCGGCGGATGGATTCAAATTGGCTCACCCCTACCGGCTCTTCCTGGAGATGATACAGAATCAGTAAGCCGGCAGTCGTAGCCCAGAGCCTTACTTCCTGGGCGAAACGCTCAAAATGTTCCGCTGATAACAGTTGAGGTAATGACTGGCAAATGTCAAGCAACGCCAGTTCGCCATAGACAGGCTCGGGCCTTGCGCAGTTGAAAGCAACCACGTCGATCATGGCGGTCAGGTTGGAGAGCGTGTTTGGCGTCACAAGGTCCACCCTGTCGAGAAAGAGATCGTCCGCAACAAAGTACCATACGAAGAATTTCGAGATGACTGACAGAAGCTCGGGTGCCGCCTTGGGATGGCACCGGGCTGCTAGCCAGGCGTAACGACTGCGCTTCACTCGCTCGCGGTAAGCTACGTCGACCAACAAGCCCTTCTGATCGGCCCAATCAAGCATGATGGCTTCGAGGAGGAGCACATCTGCTGCGATGTCTCCTGCCCATGGGATGTGTACTATAAGAACCTTAAAAGTGCCAAGCTGAGCTTCCAGATTGTGTCGATTCATGTTATGTATAGAATAATATAGAGATCTCGGATGTTTGTGTGATTGTAAATAGGCACTTATGATAGAGTCCTGAAGTTACCGACAGAGAGGAGGGACACTTCCACCTTATGCACAGTAGACCTTGTATTTGTGACACTTGGCTTTCAGTTTTACTCCTTGCCGTTGACATATTCCCTGCGTAGATGAAATCCCCCTTCACATAGAGCCGCTAAAGATGAGTGAAGATGGCACTTGAAAGAGGCCCTGCCGTGACCATTGAGTTGCATGTACTATGTGCTGTCATCATCACACATACTGTCAGCCATTGGAATCCTGAGACGTCAGTTATTCTGACTAGTGTCCAATAGAGTACCCCCACTACGATGTCTGTCACCGAATGCGGGAGGGGAGACGTACACGTCCCTATTCAGTAGGTATAGATCAACAGATCCTTTTCTTTGTGGTAACCTGCTGTGCAACCTCTCCCAAACAGACTAGGCCTACTTTGTCTCAATACCACTCTTACCCCTTTCTATAATGACTACTCTTTCCCCGATAATCAATGTTCATCATCTGTTGGAGTCTCACTAACGTACCGGATTATGGCTCTCAAGATTACTTTCTCAGCAGCGGTTATGAGATTCGAAGGCACTGGTAGGGTGGAAATCCACACTGAAATTTAGCCGACCTGGACGATGCAGTGATTATAATTCATTGGTGACAACAAATGATTCCACGGCAGCTAGTCATTCAAGTTGTGTTACACACATTGTCAAATTGATCTATTCTGTTATGCGCCCAGGAAAGGATGTAGGGGATTCACATCCATTCAAGACAGCAATATTCATAGCGACAGGAACGCGCCTCACAGATTATTGTCCAGCATAATCTAGGAGAACAATTAGTTCGCACCGAGTATTGGAAAGATTGTCTGTCAAACTCTCGTACCCGGCCTTTTCAACGTATTCATGTTGTTTAGCGTCTGAATCACTTGTTTCAAGCCAACTGTGGTTCGATACACGGGAATATCTGTCCTACACCCTGTTCAAGGCGGAGTAAACTCTGATCATTCTTCGATGGAGCTGCCTACAGCGACGACTCTCATCGTCATCAATTTCTGCTGCAAATGATCTAAAGGTAGCCACTGGCAAGCATCTATTCCTTTTCTGCGCCTTGCCCCTTACTGCCGACGCTGACGCATATTATTCCCTTGACAGAACTGTGAGCCCAACACTACGGGTGGATGACATACGCAGTATCTGCAGATCACTTCAAACTCAACTCCAGCCAGGGATAGTACAGATGAAGTCTTCTGGCATACAAATGTGGCACAGAAACGTATTCTGTTGAACGGAGAATTTTTTTCACGTACTGAAGGGGGCAGTGATACGATCAGCAACATGATTACACAACCGCTTTGATGGTCCAAGATGGTCCAGGTACCGTCTCTGAGCTACTAGGAGTAGTACTGTGCATTATGTTTATGTCACGACTATAACCTTTACTTCTATCCTATATTGGAGTAATGAAAGAAATGCCTACTCTAGTCTGCGCAACTTGGGTGGTGAGATAGCCGTTATGTGGCTTGCACGTACACAGAACATACTACTAAGTGCCAATATATAAACATATGGCTCATGAAGTCCAGTCTCCCCCAGAAATGGGGTTTTGAAAGGGCATCAAAATTGATACATCACATAGTTAGACACCATTTCATCTCTCCCGTGACTGTTCTCTCAACAAGAATGAACGATCATCGACAAAGACCCGACTCCGTGGATCCTGAAACTGGATCAGCTCTCTCTCCTTTTCTCTACTTGATTCTCGGACTGATCGAACACAGTGGGGACCTCGAGGCAACCCGCAGTGTACTGCATGAGCTTTCTGTGGAGATTACGAGGCAACTTGAGATGTATAAAAACATGACGAAGGTGAAGAATTGATTGTTGGCGAGTATTCTGGCGAACCTGCAGAATGACTTCTCTTCTCAAAAAAGTGAGAGTAAGAAAGAGGATACGCTGGAGAAGGTGTTGCGTATGTGGAGTGGCTATCGGGATGAGGCGTGGAGGGATGTTCTGAACTGAACTAGGGTTAGAGACAGAAAATTTGGACCTGATCTCACATAGTCGGCACATTTGAGTACTAGGAAGTATAGCGAGAAGACTACATCCCGGATCGAAGTTCAAATCATAGAGTCCATCTATATTTCTACCTCTCTACCAAAAGTCCAATCATGCACGCTATCTCGGTCATAACAACATATAGATACATAACAACAATGGTATCAACTGAAAGACATATCAATCTTTCCAAGCTCTATCATGTACACATGCCCAACAAGAACCCTCTACAGACTCTGCTTACCAGCAGTCTCAATTGGAAGCAGCACCATGGCCACAAACGAAACCAACAACAACGCACCCGAAGCATAGATAGGCGCACTGGGGTTCGCAGAAGCATAAATACCAATGATAGGAGCACAGAAACCAGCAATGCGGTTCAAGCAACTAGCTATACCCGAGCCGGTACCGCGGTTGGGAGCGGGGAAGACCTCGGGGGTGTAGGCGTATAGCACACCATACATGATCATCTGGGTAAAGGACTCGAGAGCAGAGCACACGAGTTGAGTATCAGATGTCTTGGCTGCAGTGAAGCAGAAGAGCAGGACGGCGGTGATCAATGTCGACAGGGCCATTGTACCTTTCCGACCGACGTACTTGACGTCGACCATGTAGAGGGCCAGAATAGGGCCGAAGAGTCCGGTCACGGAGGTGATAGCGTAGTTACGGTAGGTGATGTATACGGAAGACGAGGAGCCGAGGTACTGGGGCAGGAAGGCGTTGAAGAGCGTGTATCCCATGCCGATGGTGGTCCAGCAGAGCCAGATGAGGGCGGCTGGTTTTCATCGTTAGTTCTTGATGGGGGCTGTTGCTGATGATGTAAGGGGAAAGCTTACTGGTGATTCCAAGACGCTTGGACGAGAACAAAGGTCCGATCTGCTGCACGGAGAACTTGGACAGCGAGCGCTTCAGAATTTGCGTGGAGGAAAGGTTCTGTTCCTTGCTATCTTCGGTAGCTCCGCCGATCTCTTGCAAAATTTCCACCGTGAGCCAGGTCTTCTTCTTGTTGTGATGGGCAACACCGTGAATAGCTGCGACTGCGTCCTCATCCCGGCCCTTGGCGACTAGAAACTTGGGCGATTCGTACAGCTTGAAGAAGAAGAATCGACACATCCAGAACACCATGGTGATGGCACCCAGAGAAAGAACAAGGTATCTCCAGCCCATGTTGTTTTCCTTGGTGCAGTTGCTCGAGTCAGAGCAAGAGTAGTTGGGGATGAAAGCCCAGGCCAGCATACTGGCAATGAAGGTACCCACTGACCAGAATGTGGCCAGTGAACTCAAGATGTTTCCTGAAGCACCGGGCAAGAACTCGAGGAAGATGGCAGCGTCGACAGGCAGATTACCACCTACTCCCAATCCCAAGCAAGCGTAGAGGGCACAGGTACTGATACTCTGTTAGCCATCGCGACATTTCAGGGGTAGGCGGGAACATACCCAACCCAGCTGGGACCACCGCCCGATGCGAGACCAAACGCGCCACACAAGAAGAGAGTCGTATTGAAAGCCAATCGACGTCCAATCATATCAGATGCAAGACCCCAGAAAGTGGCGCCAACGATCAGACCAACAAACAAGGAGCAGGTAGTAAAACGAACGTAGGATTCGGAGATGCCGAATTCCATAGACAAGGGGGTTAGGGTCAGGGCAACTCCCTACGTAGGCCGTGTTAATTCGACTGCATTTCATTCGACAGTGTCAGTAAATGAATTGCTGTGGTCTCACCTGTAGCCAGAGGCTGTAGGAAGAAACTTGTTAGCACAGCTTGAACGAATTCTAGGAATCAGTCGACTCACTTGTCAGCAGTCCAACCAAATCCACACAGGATATAAAGTTCCCACTGATACCGACCCATGCCGATATCTTGGATGGCCTTGTTGATAATCTTGGCCTTGCCTGCATTCATCCAGTCAGACATCCAGATCCTTCGGTAAATTGGTAGGAGGGGGTCCTGGCTGGGAGAGAGAGAATAGCCGGCTCCTTGGGGGTCGAAGATCGCCCATTACGAGGCAACAGAAACATACGATCATAAACAGAGTTATGGCCCGATGCAGAGACGGCAGAGTCGACTTCTGCACGAAGGGCCTCGAGGGTTAGCGTAGTGCTTTCGGGTGCGGAAGCAGCACCCTTTTCCTGGGAATCTAAGCTGTTGACATTGGATTCGGCATCCTTCTCCGTTTGGGGAGTCGTAGTGGGGGCATCGGCCAGAGGGATCACGACCTCAGGGATCTGCGAGCGGTCTCGCTGCCAGTTTTTCCACCAGCTACCCATTTTGATCAGGCGTTCCGGAGATAAGTCGCAAGGGGGTAACGACGAGTGGGATGTGGCGCGTGGCTAAAAATAAAAACGTATCGACCTAAATTGTCGCTGGGGTTGTATGCCGGGGACCTAAATAGGGCACGGTATGCCTTGTCGCCGGGGCTAGATTCGATTGTTTGGATTGCTGCTCTGGAAAAAACGATTCGAATCTCGTCTGTTCTTACAACCTAGTAGACCGTGAGTAGGAGAGGTTGTCGCAGGGCGCTATCAGGGCAGACGCTAGGGAGTGCAATGGCGGGCAGGCGTGCAGATAAGGGCATCCGAGGTGCGAAGGGAGACCGCGATGGTAGTTGGCGCAATGGAATGATCACAAAACAGGTCGCTCTCTGGGTTTTTGCTTGGGCGCGTGGTCGGAGTGTTCGTGTCCGTCTTTCAGTCCTAGAATGACTATGTCTAGTGTTGTGACGACACCACACAGAAAACACTCGGAAATAGTTTTTGTTTCGTATATAAATTCAGGCTGGTAGCCGGGTATTGACAGTCTTTTGTAGTCCAAAAGATGACACGCTTAAAAGAGAAATGCTAGTTGATTCGGTCGCAAAACAGGAATCAAACTTGCAACAAAGGAAGAGGAGTAACAAAATACTACCTCAGGATGGGTCGAGATGTGGAGAGGAAAGACCGGGAGGAATGGGATGGGAAGGAAAGCCGTGGGACGACGGGAGGGGGAGTTGTTGAACCCTATATAAACTCCACGATTCATGCGCCGCAGGAAGACTGGGAAAAAGTTTGACATAACATCAATGCGTAACAGGCAGGTCCACAGCACCCTTAACTACTAGGTACGAAGTACCCCGCTTGCCGCCAGTGACCCAGGGCAGAGCTGATGCTGTCGCTTCGATTGTTTTTGCTGGTTGCCTCTGTACGAACACGAATGGCACTCTCGATTGAGTGTGAAGAGCCGGATAGATGTCCGATGTGGACTGTGTCGCATTGGGAATGATAAGGCTAGTCTTAAGGGACTGGGAGATGCAGGATAGCTCTCCTCATGGCGCTTTGGGTTGAGGCAGTTTGCCTCTTGCTACTCGGGTCGACCTGGTTTGGTGTGCGTGCGAGCGCTCTCGCAGGTTATGCGGATGACGGTGGAGAATGGGAAGGGGCCATAGAAAAGTGAGAAAGGGGAATGAAAGCAGGACATAACAGAAAAATTTTTCAGGATTGTATGATTCGATGTCGTTGGGGTAGACTTGCAGTTTTTAACATCATCCGTGGATGGGTCATCATCCCAGTGGATAACCTCATATCCAATAATGAGCCAGTCAGGTCTTACTGTCTCCATCAAATCGCACGTGCCAAGACCCCTAAAACGGTCAAAAGAAGAAGGTGAAATGAGAGTCCGAATGTTGCCGTCGGCTTCATCCGCGGAACCGGCGCCACAAGGGCCCCTTGAGTGGTGCAACGGATTAGCCGAGTATCCACCAAATGTACCCTCATGAGTCCCTCCGGTCGTCCTCGGAAAAGCGACGTCATTCCGATTTCTCACTAAAGAGAACGGAGCAGGTCCCGTGTCAAAAGTGCTTGAGATCTTCGCCGTTCTCTCGTACCGAGGAATGCTGGTGATTATTGACATTCTTTGAGAATTATCCCGGTGGAGAAGTAGGGAATCTGGCGTCGGATCAAGGAATTCCCGTCGGACTGCCTCAGCTGATCGGCATTACCGGTTGCGGTCACTAACCAGATGGGCTGGTCACTTGCGACGCGCGTTATTAGTGCTCAGCATCACTACAAAATATTAGAGAGGGCTTAGCCAGCACGGGAAATCGAGCCGCTGGCGCTTCTTGGTGGTTATATGACACGGTTTAGGGTTTCTAACTGGCTCCCGAATGTCTGTCTACCTAATAGCAGGGCTTTGCGTACAGCTAGACAAAAGAGGTGCCTACTCCTGGAGTGAACGTGTGTCATTCAAATTTACATATCCGCATGTTTCAGAGCATTCAAGCCATAGGTCTAGGTTGCTAAGGCTCCAACGAAATTTCTCACGAGATGCCCAAGAAGGTCCTTGACTAGCGCTTCTGCGCCTTGCCGATCAGGTACTTGGAGAGGCTCCGCGTAGACTATAAACGCGCCACTTGAGGGAAGAATTCGATAACAACCTTAGCAGAAAGATTTCATCTCATAATACTCTTATCAGTAGTAAGGCGCTTCACAATGCCTTGGACTGAGCACGTGGAGACAAGTGGTAATTCTCTCTTGTGGGTCCTAGTTTTACAAAATATATGTTCTTACGATTCATTTATACTACTGTTGTTCGGCCGCCTAGTTATAAGATGGAACCTACCAATGACGCATGAAACAGCGACAACTGCAATTGGAAATGCCATTATTGAGCTTCTGTTTAGTAACAGCTGCACGTTATCATAATCTTTGTGTACTCCTGATACAATTGACGGTTTCGAATTTTTGTCTTCCGAGTAAAGAGCTGGAGTAGGAGCTCACTAAAGTGACCCATAATCACAGTCATGAGCGACATACGTCCTATAGTACTATTCATTGAAAGGACACAATCCTTCCCAGCACGGCATAATAATCCAGACGACTAATAAATATCTAACACCAGATGCAATAGCCCCAAGAAAGGACCATGATGCCCTTTGACTGACACTCCAGATCTTGTTAACCGAAAAACGTCAACAGTGCATGGCTCAAATGGCCCACTTGCCTGCATACTCTCTGTCATATGTAGCTGTCTGACCAGGGTTATTACTAGTCAATACCAGGACCTTCCAAGTTCACCATCTACCCACTATCTTTTTAATGCGCTGTCAATATTATGGACTGATAGCAATGGCTACCAGGGAATCCTCTACATCTCTCCTGAATACTAAACCTACCAAGAACTGAAAATGTCAGATATACTTCGCTTCATTTTCGTTAACGTGATATTCAGTTCGTTGATTTATGCAGACTGCTAAGCCATGAGGATAACATGCTGCACTTTCTACAATTGCAGCAAGTGAGAGTTATTGCAGGACGGTAAAGGAAGTCTCCCTGCGTCCCCCAAAGGCTCGGGAAACATCGGCTGAACATCAAGGCCTGCGAGGAGGTTATCAGTATACCGGAGTATACCGGGGAGTAGAGGTTGGCGATTTAGTGATGTTTTCACCCGTTACCAGGCAAACAGACACATAGTCTCGGACAATCTGGCCTGGGTCGCTGTCTGAAGAGAGGGGTAAATGTGTCAACTATCGGACTGTAGGTCTACCCTCCACCTCTTCCCGTTCCATCGATGCAGCAAGATACTTTTGCCTGCCTGTGATTTGAAATAATGCGGCAAAGGACATTTCTTGATCAAAAGTGCACAGTATCAGGACCCGATTAGTCACTACTCACCAGATCGATACAGGCGCACATGGGGTAAATCGAGGGATCGTAGTGAAGATTCAAAGCTTCCAGTTTGGGCCATCTGGGTTTCAAAGGAACAAATCTGTTGTTAACAACGGGACTTGTATTACCATGATGTTCTCTGTAGTTGAATACGAGCTAATGTCTACCTGTCATAAGAAGTATCCTGCCATTTATATTTTGTGTTTCACACGATAAACTAGACAATAAGGCATTAATTTCGGATCGAATTGGGCGCCAAACAAAAACTATTATACCATGAAACCCCATGCGAAACAATAGTCAAGTATAGAAAGAAAAAGCAACAGACGTTTCATAGATACGGAGCAGTTTCCTTCTCACACCAAGCCCAAAACCTCTCCGCCGTCCCTGCCCCTCCATCACGCTTCGACACCAAGGCCTTCTGAAGATGACAAGGGATAGGGCCGAACCTCCCCCAGGGAATAATATACGCTCCATTCTTCTCTTCCGTAACTTCCGGAGACAGCGCCGCAAAGAGTTCACTGTATGCTCCGTATCGGGGACCTTTGAATATCCAGCCCTGCGTATTGTCAGCCAGGAGTTGAGGTTCTTGCGGGAAAATGAGAACGTACCATAACCGTGGACTGAATAGCAGAATTATGTCTTTGTAACTCAGTCTTCATGAGGCCGGGATGCACGCTCTGCGTCTCATTAGCATATATCATACGAGTTAATGATAAGGGCCAAACGGACCAAACTGAGAATGCCATCCCCACCATACCGCTTCGCCATCTCCTTGGCGATAAACATATTCCCCACTTTACTTTCCATATAGTTCTGCATCGCATCAGACAGAACCTTCGGAGAATCACTTTCATCATCGAAGATAATTCCACCGGGTGCCGCAAACGAGGCCAACATGGATGATAGCCACACCACGCGCACACTACCCGCAGGAGCCGTGGCCGCGGTGCGCTGAGTAAGGGGAAGAAGGAGTTTATTGAAGAGGTAGGGACCGAGACAATTTGTTCCCATTTCAAGATCATGGCCCTATATCACATATCAGCCTTTCATGTTTTACCCATCAGTTTGTTGTTATTGCTATGGGGCAAATACAGTAATTGTCCTACTGCCCGCCGGGGGAGTCATGACCCCGGCATTGTGAATCAGTATATCAAGGCGGTCTTCCTGTTCCAATAACCTATTGGCGCTTTCTTTGATGCTCGCTAGGTCGGACAGATCTAGTTGTAGGAAGGAGAGGCGACCACGGCTATGTGCTCCCTCCGTGGAGGTCTGGATCTCGTTGATAGCCGTGCGGGCCTTGTCGGCAGATCGGGCTGCGATGTAAACAGTGGCATTTTTTGAATATAGAATGGATGCTGCGTTGAAACCGACTCCGGAGGTTGCACCAGTGACGATAGTTACCTTTCCCGTCAGGTCGGGCATGTCTTTCTCGACAAAAGTAGGGTTTGGGGGGAAGATCTGGCCGAGGGCGGGTGCCATTGTGTGCGTGCCTGTGAGTGTATGCTCGAGTGTGATGGTATATTATCTTGGAGAATATTAGAAAATGTTGGATGATTTGGAATGGGAATTGAGACGTATACCTGGATCATAATAGTGGATTTATACTAGGTGAAGCTCTCTGGACCCTCAGTCCGGAGCCACAATTCGGGAGGGCGGGACCATCTCCGGCGCTAGCATCTCCGGCCCGGCGCGCCAAGCCCGGCCGATCTTGGAGTGTCATTGAGCCCAATACACGGAATGTCTCGGTGAACAAGCCTGTATCATGGCCCAGCTCAGATGGTTCCAACAGACTAGACATTTCTGGGGCTGGGTATCCAAGTAAAGAGTGTGTATGCTATGGAGATTTCAAAGACGACACTATGAATTGTTCAACATAAAGAAAACCTTGCAGGCTCGTATTAAGACATCTAGCTGAGTAAGACGCGGCGGTGAACCCCGCGAGAGACGCCCACCATCAATATCACATCAATATCCCCATCCATTCAACGCACCCTGTTACAAGACTCCTTTGTATCAGGGACAATGGCATCTAAGCCCCCCGTTCGGACGCCTATATCCTGCACATTTTGTCGTCAGAAAAAGTAAGGCACACCGTTTTGGTAGTTCGCGTGAATGACTGAATAACCCCCTGGAGATTAAGATGTGACCGTCTCCAGCCTTGTAGTAGCTGTACCAAGCGTGGGTTAGGATGCGTATATGCTCACCCTCCCTCAGCAGCTCCGCGGAGGAATGGACCTGCTCAGCCCCGGCAGTTGACCCAACGGATCCGCCAACTGGAGGATCTAGTGGTAGCATTGCAAAAGGGCGAAACCCCTCAAACGGTAGAGACCCCAGTTCACCTGGCGCATAAGAGCGATTCTTCCCTGGCTGCTAGCCCAGAAACAGTGACCAACTCCTTTGGTAGCCTGCGGGTCGGTCAGACGGGGATGACTTATGTCTCAGGGGCTCATTGGACCGCACTGCAAGACAGTGTACGTGAGAACCTTCCTTTTGCGGTCATCACAAACTCCACTAGGACATTGTACTAACATGACCCGACGATCTGGCTGGCAGATTGCCGAGCTCAAAGAGTGCGTCGAGTTAGGGCCATCATATCTGCCTTCCCGGTGTGATAACGGGTCCGCCCTTCTCCGAGGGGTGTCTCCGCCCGGCGGGATAGCGGAGGTCCTGAGTCACCTCCCGCTAAGACCGACTGTAGATCGGCTGGTGTCACGATTTTTCAGCTCTATGGAGCCGGGTGTTCGTATGTACACGTCCTTTGAAGGAATATTGGTTGCAAATTCTAACGCAGTTGTACAGTTGTCCTGCATGCCCCGACATTCCAGAAAGAAGTAGGCGACCCAATCACGTGACATGTGTACGTCTGCTGACGTTCACAGTATGACCAATTCTGGACTCATCCACAAGATGTCAATCTGGCATGGTTGAGTATTCTCTTCAGTATCATGTGTTTGGCAATCCACCATCACCAGCTCACTGAGGGCCGCAGACCAGACCCGATCGGCGACACCCACGGGCTGTGTGATGATTTTCGGCAACAAGCTGCCTATTGCCTCATTGATAACAAGTATACAGCTCCAACGAAATATACCATAGAGGCACTAATGTTCTACGCGCAAACGGAGTATTTTCGGGGCGAAGAGTTTCATCACGAGGTCTGGTTGTTAATGGGAATGATCAACCGCCTGGCCATGCGGGCTGGCCTTCATCGGGACGGTTCCCGCTATCCAGAGCTCTCTTGTTTTGCAGCCGAAATGCGAAGACGTATATGGACGCTCATGTCCCAACTGGATGCACTCATTTCGTTCCAGTTGGGTTTGCCCCGAATGATCTATGACGGGTTGGCAGATACACAACCGCCACACAATCTCCTAGACGAGGACTTCTCTGAGGACTCGAAGAGCTTGCCACCAGCCCGTCCTGACACAGCATTTACCCCGGTGGCTTATTTGATTGCGAAAGGTCGACTCTCCAGGGTATTTGGTCTCGTGATTGACCATGCTGCATCCACCGCGCCTATCCCGTCCGCACTGATTTATCAACTCGACAAGCAACTAAATGAGTCCTATGCCGCAGTCCCAGTATGTCTCCAATTCCGCAGCGTATCTGAGTCTGTTACGACATCGCCACGTCTCATCATGCTGCGCTATAACCTGGAAATCCTCTATCAGAAGACGCGGTGCATCTTACATCGCAAGTCCCTCTGCGAAGGCCGCTCAGATGTTCGGTATGCAGAGTCTCGACGTATCTGTCTTGACGCAGCAGTGAATATTCTGCAGCATCAAGCGACTATTGATGGTCAGGTTCAAGCAGGAGGAGTGCTAGCGCAATGTCGCTGGTTTGTGACTTCCTTGGCCACGAATGATTTCATGCTGGCGGCGATGGTGGTATGCCTGGAGCTCCACAATCTCGAGCGGGAAAGTGCACAAGGCGGGCAGGCTGGAACGCCGAGAAAGGATGATCTGCTTCTTGCCCTCCAAACTTCGCAGCGGATCTGGTCACAATATAAGGATGAGTCGGCGGAGGCCTGGCAAGCCTGGCAGTCAACTAGTATCATGCTGAGGAAGCTGGATGCCCCTGTGCTTTGCAGAGTATCCCCATCAGATAGCAGCAACGGTGGCGGGAATACCAATGGCCACAGCACCACTTCCAGTAAGATCAATATCTATTCCCTATCTGGCCTTTTCTGACACCTGTATAGCGGAGACCGAGACAGATACATTCGATCCAATGCTAGGAATTACCCTTGAGTCTCAAACGGAGGGGTCAATATCTGTGGCAGAGCCCAAGATGCTGTCTTCGACCGAGCCCGAATTCGATCTATCGCGCCTGCCAAGTGAGCTTTTGAATCTGTGGGACTTTTCTGGTGACATGAGTTGGGTAAGTAGACTAGCATCACAAGAATTCTTTTGTTCGAATCAGAGGAGACTAACTGCATATGCTGATATAGCTTGCCATGTAAATAAACGTTTATACAGTAGGAGTCCTTGACCCACTAAATCTGCGCTAATGAACATGACTCGTTACCAACCCAACTCATTCGATTCCGTATGCTTGTGAAGGGTGCCTAAAAGGAAAGCAAATACCGTATCGATGTTTATGCTGATCCTTCAACAATTCTTTTTCCTCATGGCTATCAATGAAAATTTCATTGAAATTCAATCTTTTCGCTGTCTCGCTCACTCAGCTGATTAGCTTCCGTGCCCTTGTCGCTTTCGTGTACACGTTCAGCAGTGCTCTCGCAATGTCCGGATATATATGGGTCTTTCGCGAAGAGTGGGACGTCCATTCCTCGCAGTTTGGATTGACTTCGATGACTATCTGGCTTGCAATGCAAGTTCACTTCTTGCTCCTTGAGTTTGTCACCACGTTTGTGCCGATGCAGATCATTCCCTTCGCTATCTTGACTTGGATTATCCTGAATGTCTCGAGCACGCTTAGCCCCTTTGAGCTATCGCCGGGTTTCTATCGCTGGGGATATGCTCTGCCTGGTAGGGAGCTCTATGATACGCTCCTTCAGGTCTGGACGCGAGGATGTAACCCTTACTTGGGAAGAAGCTTGCCTATACTCTGGTCTTGGTGGATTGTGGGTGTTGTGGGTTTTGCGGTTGCTCTGAGGTATCGTCATCAGACAGCGATGAAAGCCGGAATTGAGATTATAGAGAATGAAAAGTCCGAAAGATCCAGGGCGTGACTGGTATAACTTTTGAACATTTTTGCGTTGAAATCATGTGTATCTATTGATTTTGTACTTGACTCGATCAGAATGTCAATCCTCTAGTAATAAACACATCACAGGAAAGCTATCCGATACACATGTCTTTACAGTTTACTTCCCATTCCAACGTCTCGATCTACTGCATCTCGCGAGTCTGCGGCCGGCAAGCTAGGGACCGGCAGATTCAACTCGATCGCAATTGCCTTTGAAGCCCAGAAGCCCGTCACAAAGGCAAGAGCCAACCCGCCCGCATATCCAAGGTTACTGAACCCTCCACCATCAACCCCAGCAACTAACAGCCCTGGGATGGGGTTCCCATCGGTCGTCAGCGCACGGCCCTTAGTATCGATTCTAATGCCACCGTACGTGAATGTAATTCTGCATGATCAGTCGTATGCACAGTTGCATCGAAGGAGGGATACGTACGATGGCTGCACTTCCATACAAAAGAAGGGTCCGTCGCCCTCTACTAAGGGAACTGGAGGTTTTCCGCCTGCCCCGACAGGGGCATCCAACGCCACAGTCGAGTTACCTAGCCGGATGACCTGATCATAGTGTTCAATTGTCCTTCGAGCTTGTGTCTCATTTACTCCCCATTGTTTGAGTATGTTGACCAGCCCGTTGATGCTCGGCGCACTACCGACACGGCAGCCGTGTTCCTGAGCTTTGGCCAGACGATCGATCTCACCCGCGTTAGGGAACGGTGCGGAGATGCAGTGCTGGGCCCGAGTGCGATCGCTGCGTTGTCAGACATATACTTCGGGGAACATCAAGGGGAGACATACTTGAAAAGAAGAAATCCTCGCCGTTTCTCTTGCTTCGCGAGATACTGATTGATGATCTCGTCGCCAGTCGTCTCATCCGCAAATCTCAGGCCTCTCTCGTTGATAAGCAGGCAATGTTTGCTTTCTAGGTGATAATTAGCACCATGTATGGCGAGGACATATATCACTTACGATACTGTGCCAACGGCAAATAGTCCCGTGGGTCGACCTCCTCAGCCTGCAGAGGCGCCGCGAGTAAATGACCGTAGAAGGTACTCATCCCACGACTGCTACCTGCACCTACTTGTGTTCCTAGGGTCAACCCGTCTCCCACCGATCCCTTGTTGGATCGCACAAACATGTCGTCTGCGTGTTGGCCCATATGCATAGACAGTAGCCTGGGGTTACCTTGAAACCCCCCAGTGGCTAGGACAACCCGCTTCGCTCGAACTTCGTAGTGTGCACCATCCGCGCGACGAATCACCGCCCCAATAACGCGCGATCCAGGGACTCCCGGAACTTCCTGCAGTAGCTTAACCACAGCGGTATTGGTGAAGATTTGTGAGCCGGTATTGCTATCTCTGATGCGCTGCTGATGACATGCATGGAGATGAGGGATATCGATTGGAAAACCGATGCCTGTACCTCATGTTAATTACTTTTCGCTGCGACGAGAGGAATGACATACCAATTGTCATAATCCCATCAAACCTTTGCGCCACTGGGACACCAATTTCACGCATCCATTGTACGGCCGGGAGATAGTCTTGCATCCAGGCAGCTTGGAGATCGGGATTTCCCCATGGTACCCATGAGCGCAGACTTGAGTAGGACTTGGGACCCCAACTGCACCAAGGTAATCAGTACGTGTCCCCTATTATTGATAGGTGCTGAATTTTAACATACAACATTCCTGCGGAGTAATTGGATGACCCACCCACGATCGACTGCTTCTCTACAACGAGAACTTTAGCCCCCGAGGACGCGGCAAAAGAGGCACAGGCAAGGCCTGACATGCCCCCGCCACAGATAAGGGCATCAACGGTAATTGTTTGCATTTTGTGATATTCAAGCTATGAGCAAGATTTATGTGTGCAGTGATGGCTGAAGACGAGCGTCGGGTATATAACCACCCTCCGGTGGCTAAATTAAGTGGCCGGAGGACCCACCCGGGTATCATGTGCCTGAACAAGCATGACAAGACCGGGTTATAGAGGAAGGCCATTCGGTCAAGCTGATAGCAACTTTAGATATAAAAATCTTAACCAGCTCTTTCAGTCCATGCCCATGCTGAATGGAAAGTGGTGACATCGGCCATGATAGAGTTGTCCGGATACTGTGACTCCCCGCATTTCTCCAGAATTTCTCGGTAATTCGGGTAATTTTCCTACGACAACTTTAAAGCTCATATTCCATGATTCTTCAACTATGGCCCCAAGCACTCGTTCAAGTCAAGCTAGAAGAGCCTCCAGACCCTCTGCAGCCGCTTGCGAAGTATGCCGTCACCTGAAGATGCGCTGTATTCGGCCCGATCTATCGGAGCCATGCGACCGTTGTCGACGCAACAATCGGCGCTGCAACATCCCCCCTCCCCGTCGTTTGGGTCGCAAGCCTGGTGCTGTTGGTCGCTACAATGGGTTCGAAAAGTCTTATCGAAAGATGCAAGCACAGCTCAAGAAGGCATCGGTATTAGCTGATGAGGTACAGCAGGTATTGGGTACCACGGGCCAAGAGGAACTACTTCAAGTCATCGTGGCGAAGCTGCAGCATGATAGTGACGGCAAAAGGTCAATGCCAACCACAGACGGTGCATTGAGAAGCCACCCTGATGGCTTGCCAACCCCAAAGGAGCCAGTTAATAATCCACTAGCACTACTGGCTGACGCATCTAGCGCAGCACAGCCATTGACGCCGTCGCTGGATTCATTATGTACTACAAGTGGAGGCCGGGAGCTCATCCAGCGCTCAGTCTACGCGTCTCTAGGTCTGCAGCTAAGTCGACACACACTGGAAGAGGGCCTCAATGCCATTTATGATTCCACACTACCCATCCAGTCCCAATCGAATTATTTCCGATCACCTGATGCGGATCCACCTCGAGATGTCGGCCCAGATCTGGATCCTATCGAGCTGGGGCTGTTACCGTTAGAGGATGCGCATAGTTTGTTTTCAGCGTATGTGCACTACTCCCTAACAATCCTCTTGCTAATGAAATACTAGCTATTTCGTCCGCTTACACCCCATCAACGGCATTCTGGACCCAATTCTTCACACCGTCGACTATGTGCGCTCCCGCTCCGCTCTTCTCTTCACATGGATTCTGGCCATTACGGCTCAATTCGATCACCAGTCTGCATCGTGCGCCAAACGCCTGCGCTTTCACGGCGAGACCCTCTCGCGACATGTCCACACATCTGGGTACAAGTCAGTCGAAATCGTCCAAGGATACTACATCTCGCTCCTCTCTGCTACCCCTGCCCCGACATTGTCTGAGGAACGCTCATGGCTCTACACTTCCTACGCCGTCGCCGTCGCCACTGAGCTAGGCTTAGACCAGGTTAATCCTTCCAACACCCTTGCCTCCGACTCGATCATGTCCCAGCGACAGGCGCGTAATTACGAACGCACCTGGCTGCGCATCCTACTGTGGGAACGCGCTACCAGCGCCGCTTACGGGCGAGCAACTGCCTTTCCCGAGTCCCCCCTTACCCGGAATATCGAGAAATGGTGGCTGCACCCTCTTGCCGATTCTACCGACAAGGACACATGTGCTTTCATTCTCCTCCGTCGACATTTAGCAGGTCTTCCTCATACCCTGCACCAGCAAGCCTCTTTCAACCACGACAACCCTCACTGGGTCCGTTATCTTGTCGACTCCACCCTAGACCCGTGGCGAGTTACCTGGCTCCCTGGATGCACTTCAAATGCCGTCACCCCCTCTCCGAACATATCCACGGCCTTCCTCACATACGTATATCTCCATAACCGTCTCTGGATGCTCTCTTTTGCCCTAAATACCTCATCCATTCACTCCTACACCCTCCAGGAAGACTGCTTTACAGCCGCAGTTCAATGTTGTACACTCGCTGTACACGATCTCCAATCGATTGGGGAACCTCTGTACTGTCTTCTCTCCCCATCTTGGGCGATGATCGCCTACGCCGCCGCTCTCGCCCTCAGAATCTTCCCCGCTTTGTATGATACCCATGCCGGCGATGAAGGCGAGTTGCTAGGATTGCTAGGGCAGGTAGCCCTGCAGCTAGAGAAAGCTGGAAGCACCCCGTCTCATAGAATTGGAATTGCGGCCGTCCTCGGGAGACATTTGCTTAGTGTTTTGCGGGCGAAAGTTGGGATGCGCATGGGACCTGGGGATGTTGCGGATAGCAGGCTACACTGTTCATCTGAATCGGGGCTGGTGGGAAGCAGCTGCGATCCGGTCCTGGGATCTGTTGCGATGGGACTGGATGAAGGTTTTGCGGATGTGTTTCGGGAGGTGTTCGGGCCGGGGTGGGGGCTGGGGATGGAATGAGATTGGAATGTTGATCAGTAGATGCCCTGGAGATAGTTTCGCCGAGGTAGCAGGGGGGATCTTGATGCATCAAGAGCGAGAGGAAGGCGCACTTCACAATCAATTTTATTCATGGCAAGCAGTAGCTCCAGGACGGCGAAATCACCACCTGAACTAGGTACATTTACGCAGTGTCTATATGTATGCTGGTCGGCATCTGCAATATCGCTACCATACATACCTATGCTTGGCTGTCACCGTATTGTTGTGAGATATTTTCCCTCTATTCTTGTCTTGGCGCAATTGTCTGCTTTTTCTTATTTCTTTTCCTTCCCAGAGGGTGGGGTAAGGGCGACCTATGAAGACTACATATACTCAGACAATTTTCCGTCCCCTTTTGTTTGCTTTCTATTTTACGCTGTCTTTTTGCTTTTTATTCATGCTTTTTCTTCCAAAAGATTTCAGCGATTGTATCACTCGTAAAATTGTTATGCGGGATGATCGGCCTTTTCGAGCTGACCGCATTGTTGCCGTTTCCGGCCAGCACCTTGGGATAGCTTCCTATTTCGATATCCAAAAATTCTATGTCTAAAAAGCATATTTCTCCTAGGAACCCCAACGTGAAAAATATCGAACGATCCTAATCAATTGAGGTTATATATTCTTGACATCTATATCCCACTAATCTCACATCCCATTTCTAACCACCTTCTCTTCTTCCACTATCACACATACAATGACAACCAACCCATTTTACTGGATTAAGTCCGAGGACTGGCACACAGCTGGCGAGCCATTCCGCATCATCCCCGAAGTTCCATCAGGGTACATGCCAACAGGTAGAACCGTTTCTGACCGGCGCAACCAGATCATCCAGACCGAGAACCACCCGTTGGATAGGCTCCGCAAATTTCTCAGTCATGAACCCCGAGGGCATGCTGACATGTACGGGGGCTTTATCACTCCGCCAGACGACACAGGTGCGCACTTCGGTGTATTGTTCTGGCATAGGAGCGGATTCTCGACGGCATGTGGTCATGGTACCATTGCCCTAGGGTCCTGGGCTGTGTCAACAGGTCTTGTCGAGTCTCCAGAGAATGGAGTTGTGGATGTGGTCATTGATGTTCCGTCTGGCCGTGTGTCAGCGCATGTTACTGTGAAGGATGGAGAGCCAGTACAGGCTTACTTCATGAATGTCGCCAGCTTTCCGATAGAGAAGGGGCTATCTGTGAGAATCCCTTCTCGTAATGAGGAGATTCGTGTTGATTTGGCTTTTGCCGGTGCTGTTATGGCTTCAGTGAGTGCTGCTGAATTGGGTCTTGAGGTCAAGCCGGGTAATGCGGATGCATTCATCAAACTTCAGCGAGAGATAAAAGCAGCACTTGGCGATAGAGCAACCTATCTCGATTATGAGTTGTACGCAGTCATCTTTTTCGAGGACGAAAGGCACCACCCAGATTACCGGAAGACGATCGTCCAGAGGAATGTTACGGTCTATGGTGATGGTCAGATTGATCGGTCCCCGTGTGGCTCTGGCACTTGTGCGAGAATTGCCATCCTAGCTTCGGATGGTCGGCTTCGAAAGAACCAGATATTTTTACATCACTCCATTATCGGGTCGGCTTTTGAAGCGGAGATAGAGTCCTGGGGGAGTTCCAGTGGGGGCTTTGATTCCTGTAATGTGCTTGTGAAGGGCCAGGCACATCTGATTGCGCAGTCGCGGTTCTTGATAGACGAGGAAGATCCTCTTTCTCCAGGATTTATCTTGCGTTGATGAATGTTTGTTTTGAGAGGTTGCATCATGTGGGATATTTACATCGAATTGTGTAAGATATGCTTGTCGTATAGTTGTAGTGCTAAAATATATTGACTCTCGATTATACGTAAGAACAAACTCAATAAATGATCTTGGTTCAAACCTTTAAAAGTACTCATTATACTTATATTGCCAATTCATGTTTGCAGCCCAGTGCTACTAAGTTTATTTACATCTGGCCCCCACGTTTAGTTCTGTTTCCACCCGCAGCTCGGGCCAGGGGTCGGATCCTGCAGGGCGGGGCTCATGTCAGCTAGACGCCCATCGCTGACTGCAACCATTTCTCGTTTGCATGCCCAATGTGTAGTAGCTTAGACGTGCAATATACGCCACATCTTCTAATAAGCTTCTATACTAAGACGTCTTATCCTTGCCACAGACAATGAATGTCCTGGAACAAGACGCACCTCTCTGCACAAGGTGCCGCACAATTGACTTCAATGCAATCTTCCAACTCAGCAACGATGTCCGAGATGCAAGGTTCGAAGGTCTCCCTATCATATCACTGGGTAGTATCATTTCCGACCCAGACACGCCATGTCCAATGTGCGATCTCTTCGACAAAGTCAAGTTCGACCTTGACGTATCAGCTTGCCAATCAACATGGGATACCAGTCAATATCATTTACGTGCATACAGCAGCCTCATAAAGGAAGTAGGTGTCACAGCAGAAATGACAACAGAACCTAAACAGCGAGACATTATTAAGCAAATCCGCAGGGGGGATAAGTATATGAGTGATGAGTCAAACAGTGTGTTCCTCGCGGTGTTTCCGGGAAGCGAAGACGATGTCTTCATCACCAGTGAATTAAAAATCTTCGATATCTGCAGCCATCTAGAACAAAGCGTCATTATGCCGGTGGAGGGGTCTGATATTGCCAACCTACGGACTCACGGGATCCGAGTGTCACCGAGTCAGATCAATTACGCTCGTTTGAAGGAGTGGATGGATAGCTGCCAGAGTCATCATGGGCCTCGATGTACTTGCTCACCTACTCCTCCGCCTTTTGTGCTAAAGGTGATCGATTGCCAGACCCGGCAAATCGTCCCTCACCAGCCAGGTTGGGAGTACTTTGCGCTGAGCTACGTATGGGGAGCACTGTCCCGGGAGGAATCAGTTGTCCGAATACAAAGGTCTGAGGCTGTGCTTCCGGACAAAGTGCACGGTACTATCAAAGATGCCATCAGAGTCGTCAATAACCTCGGAGGTAGATATCTCTGGGTCGACAAATACTGCATTAACCAGGACAACGCACAAGAAAAGCACGATCAAATATCTCGCATGGATCTGATATACTCCGGTTCCTATGCTACTATAATCGCTGCTGGTTCTGATATTTCAATTTCTGGGTTACCTGGCGTTGGTGCAGTTCCAAGACGGCGCCAACCACAAGCAACCTCACCGACAGCCTCTGGAACTAATTTGAGACTGGTATCTACACTGCCTTCAATCCGACGTGCTTTAGCCACCAGTCCTTGGATTTCTCGTGGCTGGACCTTTCAGGAAGTAATCCTCTCGCGTCGATGTCTGTTCTTCACCGACTTTCAGGTTTACTATATGTGCGGAGAGACCACAAATTGCGAGTCGACCGTGCTCTCCCCTGTTCCTTTGTCACTCATGGCCACGGCCCAAACAGCCACAAAACCTGCCCTCGACGACATCCTCGATTCTTCTCGGTTCACCTATCAAATAACCCAGCACCCAGCATACTATTCCAGTAGGCCATATCGACCCTGGGCCTTCCGTACACACCTATCAGACTACTCAAGTCGAAGCCTCTCCTACAACTCCGATGCTATCAACGCCTTTCGAGGCATCCTCGCTCGCTCCAATCATCCAACCTTCTACGGTATTCCGTTCTTGTTTGGCGGAGAGACTTCCTATACTCTAGCGCGCGATCCAAATTTCCGTTTCGTCTGTGCACTGTCCTGGGAACCTATTTACCAACCTCCTTGCATAGATAATAGTAGCGAAATTGGCAAAGATGGACACTTAATACGAAGAAAAGAATTCCCCAGTTGGTCCTGGGCTGGCTGGATAGGTCAAGTCTCATATCACTACTTTCTCTGGGACAGGAGATTTGGCTGTGCAGAGGAGGATCTTCTCCCGCAGGAACTGGATGGGCATCAGCCTGTTCGCATATGGATTTGCTTCAACCTTCATGAGAGTATTGACCATATCTCCATAGGGGATATCTCAATAGAAGAATTCTTCGTCAACCACAACAGCGCTCTTTGGGGAAATATCATGCCTGAAATCTCGCCCTTTCTGCAGATTGAATGTACTATCCTCCATTACCTCCAGATAAAGCTCTTGAGTATTTCCTCTGGAACTGCTTCTGTTCCTGCATTCAGAATCGTTATAGGGGATGGGTATTCCCGTGCTCCGGTGCTGTTTTGCGGGCCACCTCATTGTTCAAACGAGGATGGGATGATAGAAGAGGAATATACGGGGCTGGTACTCTTCGAGAGAAGACATAGCATTCCCCTATGCACGCCGTGGGATCATATCGGCATTTTTGTTTTTCTTGTGAAGGAAGTTCATGGTGGGAGGGAGGGGCACCATGAGCGTGTGGGATCTGTATGGTTGGATCGAGCGGAGTTAGGAAAGCTGGGTGGTGATGATAATACGAAGATGAGGAGAGAGACGATTTCATTATCTTGACCATTTTAAGATATGTACTCTGGTCATCAGGGGACCCTGTCAACAAGAAGCAAAGCGTATACCGGACACCAGAGTCGAAGATGCCACATACATAGCATGGCAGTATTTTCTTTGGGGATATCAGAGATGTAGTGAGGTTCCGGCGGGATGTAGCTGAAAACTCTAGTGTTGCAAGCAAGGAAGGAGCGCTCTACGCCAGTCATCCCATATTTCTTATTCTGTAGGTACTAGTAGACAGCCCTGCCTCGAATATCGGAGACAACGTGCGAATCACTCATCTCTTCCAACATTTATGTCCGACAATCTCGAAACTTCACGGGTCGTGGCTTCTTTAGAAATATTTCGGCCCCCTCGGATTTCCTTTCCACCAAGTGTTGACATTTACGACCAACACGTAAACTAATGTGATTGGCATTCAGTATAATTGGATGGCAGCGTGAGCCATAGCGCCGAGGCGGAGAAGCGAGTACAGAGCACAAGGCTGCGATGTCATCCTGTTAGAAAGCGGCGCTGACTGGAAGGTGCGCGATAACGAGAGACGGACGGCCTTGTTTTATGCACACACACAAAGTGCGGCTCATTTCTTGAACGTCAGAACAAACGTGACAGAATAATCTAGGCGTTGCTGCCTTATGAAAAATTCCTTGATGGAACGGAAGCGGGAAAGGAGGCAGCTCAGTCAGATGATGACACAACTTGCGAATACCAGGTCTTATCTGGAAGTTAATAAACGAGTTACTCACTCTCGATTCGAAGATTGAAATCAAGGATTGCTGTTTATCAGGGCTGAAGCATAGTATCTAGCAATGTAATGAAGGAGTGCTATTTGTGATGGACAATAACCTCGCTCAGCATATTCCCCAGTCGCTATTGAAACCCGATTTCTTCGACCCTCCCTCTCACCTTAACCACCGTCAATGGGTACTCATCCCCATCAGACTCCACACCTACATCTGGTCTCTTATACACTCTGTCTCTGCTAGAATCACCTAATAACCCACCATTCCCTGGTTTAGGGTAGCTTGAATTCCCCGGTTCTTGAGAGGACTGTTTTCTGCTGAATATTCCGGGAAACAGAGCCCTTGCCAGCGGACGCAGAGTTGGGAGACAAGCAGATATAATTCCCGAAGATACTTCAATAACGCACCATGCGTTGGATCGGCCCAATGTGTCTGCAATTAATCAGTACACTACTTGGAGCTAGCCAAGGGATAGACGGGCCAATGTACATGTTAAGTCATCGAAGTTGACATCGACTAGCGTGATGATGCGATATATGCTCGTGAAAATCACACTATGCGGGCATCGTTAGTACAAAACCAATGCACTGTCAATAATAACATGACAAAGAAGGATTGGATGAAGAAAAAGGAACCACTTACAAGCCCCCCAAAGAAATCATCCCTACCGCACTAATTCTAACCCCCCACTTAGCCTGCACTTTCCATACTCTGCCGATCAAAAGCCCCAGAATGATTACATCAGTGGTAGCATTTACGACATCATTCGCGATGAATGTGTCCTTTAGATTAATGCACCGTCCCGGGAAAGATTTGTCCCATGCCCGAGCGACAGGAATACATTGGAAGATGGAGGCAATAATCAGGGATACAGCTCTGATGATCGTGATCGCTCCCAGGACATACACGGCTATGCGTGTGGGCTGATGGATGTGGAAGATCCGGTGATACATTGCTAGGATGGAGGTTTTGGTGAGGATGAGAGACGTGCAGTAGAATACTTCTGCGGGGAGTAGGAGCTGCTATTGTATCAGAATGACTTTCTTGATATGGGAATATGAAGGGATAGGGCTTACTTTGTTGATGGTTATAATGTCATCTATGGGGATAGTGGATTGGTGTAGCCCAAGACCGTATTTTACCACTGTTAGGTTCTAGTATTATTCCAAGATAAAAAGAATAAAGGTGAAATTGTTGTGAAGAGGTGACCTACTCACTAAGTCGAGTACAAAAATGATGAATAAGTTAAACTACGATTCATCGTTAAATTGGACTTCGCGTATGGTGGAGGATAACATACATACCAACGCAGCCACAATCAGCGCATCCTCTAACCCCAGAGGCACCTTTCCCAAATGCCTCGAGGAAAATCGCAGTCCCACGAAGAAAACACCCAACACTGTAATAGATATTGAAGCATCTCGGTTGTAGCGCTGCCAACTGCCTGATTCGGCCATGGTAGTCGCTAGCTGGGTCGTATGAAAGAGCCTACTACGAAGGCCGGAAGCACTGATAATAAATGTCTAACTTTTGTCATGTTATATTTGGAATATTGGCGGGGATGTGAGGACATTTGGGGCCAAAAGGTCGTATGTGGTAAGCCCTAGTCTGCCTTGTATGGGTAGAGCTGCCGCTGGACTGATGCAGGGGGCAGCGTTAATACTTGAGCCTATTCTAGTCAATACCTGAATTTTTACACTCTAGGCTTGTTAAGCTAAGGTCTTCCAAGGTGCAGGTTTTGAGCAACTACCCTGAATGGAAAATGCGTGGTTTTTGGCCCCATGTGGCTTATGCAGTGAGATTTAAGTTGTTTGAGGGACTGCAGAATGGAATTTGGGTGAGTACACGGGTATTTGCAGTCGGAAACACGCCGATCATCAATCAAGAAAATTCATGGTTTGCTCATCCGGGGGAATTAGGAACAAAAAAGAATAAGGTAGTTACCATCCTAAGCACTGACTGGAGACCCAGTGAAACATATTAATAACCCTTACCCATCAACCCCGCATTCCCTACCATATCATTCATTCAAGGCATAAGGTCATACTGCCTGACTGTTGTGGTAGCAGAGGAATAGCTCGGTCGGTTTCTCACATAGCACTCGATCGTAGGCTTAAACAATTCCAGGCTGTTAATATCATCATCAATACGCATGTCGCTCGATCTTGAAAGACAAGAATAGTCATCTCACGTACCCATTTTGGATCAGAGCTGTCCTTACAACTATCTCTTCTTCCCCATTAGTCGCCGGGATTGTGTATATAGTACACCCGCAGCCGCTGCAGAAACACTTGACTTTCTGGCGTCCACTTAGGGTATTATTGACGATGTAGCGTTTGGCAAGTCTGTCTGGATCGTGAAGTATGAAATTCGGATCCCTGTTGCAGATCCAGATGGGACGCGCAAACATGTTTCTGATGCCAGGGCAATGGGATTCACGGTTTTTCGGTGAAGATTGGTTCGGACCCTGTGGCTAATGCTGCGAGAGTGAAAGCTGCTCTGGCTGATAAGAAACCGGGGGAGTTCTTTCTAAACGATGCTAATGGAAGGATGACGGTTGATACTGCGCTGCGGATGTTCGGGTTACTTCCTAGGGGAGTGGATTTCGTTCTGGGAGCGCCATTCGCAATGTATAGGGAGAGCGTGTCACTTCGACGTCGGATTGACGTGCCGATTATTTTTGATGAGTTGGCGAATAATGAGAGCTCGATTATGCAGTTCGTTGCGGATGATGCTGTTGACGGGATCGGACTGAAGATATCCAAGACGGGTGGGTTGACGAGAGGTCGCAGAGTTAGGGATATTTGCCTTGCGGCGGGGTATACCATGTCTGTCCAGGATACAAGTGGTTCGGACGTGGCGTTTGCGGCCATTGTGCATCTGGGACAGACTATTCCGGAGCAATACTTGAGATGTATTCTAGAGTGTAGGGCTATGTGTGTTGGGAAGACAGCGGAAGGGCCGTTTGATGTTCATGAGGGAGTGCTTACAGCGCCGACTTGTCCGGGGTTGGGGGTTACGCCGAGGATGGAGGTGCTTGGGGAGCCGGTTGCTACTTTTGTTTGAGGTTTTTCCTCTCCTGCTATCTTTGAATGGAGTGGGTATGTTTCTTTGGGTATGTTGGGTAGCAGGATGTTACGTGGGTTAGGGTTGCTACGTGAGACTGTGACGTATGGCTCTTGATTTTATTGTTTATGGCACTTCTAGTGAAGGAAGAAGTACTGGGTCCCTCAAAATCCCTTGCTGCATACAATAGGGGGACTACGCATGAGGTACATCTTCGGGTACCTTCCGAGACAGCGTCGGGCTCCTCACCCGACATCTGACCTAGGCAATCATGCTCTACAAGTTCCTGAGTATAACCGGTCACCCAAATATTAACTGTCGCTTTGGTTCATGTATGCAATGTGTATGAGTGTCGTAAAAGTGCTCCCTCTGTGTGCAGATTGATAGGTTTACTCTTTTGTCCTTATAGATATACTGAAGACCTTTGGCCAGTCTTCATACTCAAACACAGCACTGGCATATACAAGAAAGACGAGCACATCGCTCTCCGGAACATGACTATATTGAAATTCATTTTTTCCACACACCAAACTTACGACCGACCAACAATTGACCAATCCACAACCAATTCACGACGAACCCATTCCTCCACCCACACATTCATCCATTCCGGCTTCACTGCATCCACAGCCCGCAACCTCTCGCTGATCTGTCCCGTCAACCTTGTATCCAGCACATTCACTCGCTCAGTCTGCGACATAACCCCTTCGAAGAATTCCAACAACTTTGCAGCTGGATTTTTGGTCAATCGTTTCTGCAGCTCTTCGTCACTCATCTTCTCTCCGGTACCACCAGCCATCTCCAGATCCTGCCGGACGCGCTGCACCCACTCCGTAAATGGGACAGTCTTGATAGTCTTTCTCGATACCTTAAAGATAGCTTCGGCAACTACTGGACGAATCACCTCCCAGTCTACCGGGTGCAGGTTCACTGGGTGATACACCTGGACAGATCCCGGTTCCCCGCGTCGACAAGCCACTGCCAAGTCCACTAGGACTTCAGCAAGCAGATCAACCGGTACCCAGTCGATGCGATTGAGGGCCGGTCCGAGCGTATCAGGCAAAACACCCAGGTGATAAGAGCTGAGGACGAGGCTCGGGAACCATTCGGTCTTGTTCCATACTCCCCTGAAACGAACCGGCCCTGCTATCTGGCCGACACGTGCGAACGAGGCGTGTAGTCGGCCCTGGCGAGCCGCTTGCGCTAGTAACTGCTCTGCAAGGTACTTGCTATCTGCGTAGCCGTTGGGTCCGGGAGTTGTAGTTGTGATCACTTCTTCCGGGGTTAGGCCGGTCTTTGTGGAGTGGCCCATAGTGGAGCTAATGGATGATAGGAAGAAGAGATGGGGTGACTGATGTGATTGGGCAGCGAAATTGATCAAGTTTACCACACCGGTGAGGTTTGGCTTGAAGGATGACAGGCTGAGGTTGAAATTTACTGCCCAGGCGTTATGGATGATTAGAGTGGCAATGTTTCGCAAGGTTTTGAAGACATCAGGTCCCAGGCCTAGGTCCGGCTGGGAAAGGTCGGCAGTCCAGAAGCTCGCTCGAGACAGATCGGTTTTCATTCCGTTATGTTTTACGCGGTGGCTTTGTCCTGCGTCAGGTGTGCGGTTCAGACAATGCACGTAGGCAACAGAAGGGGACTGTAGGAGAGTATCGAGAAGATAGCTTCCTAGGTTACCTGTCGAGCCGGTCAAAATGACCACATGGGACTTGGGCGCTTGAATCTGGCTACTGAGCTCCTGTAGTAGTTCTTCCCGCTGCTGCAGCTGGGCTTCTTTTCGCTCCTCAGCAGAAGCCTCCACATGTTGCTGCAGGTCAAGCATTGCCTGGGTGAGTTCACCCACAGAGGGATGGAGATAAATCAGGTTTGGAGTGAGTGTTGGGAGATCAAGACCGTTCTTGAAGGCTCGAGTGGCGGTGATAGCCTGCAGGGAGTCAAGGCCCAGTTCGAAGAAATTCTGGTCATCTGTGAGGTCCCACCCAGTAACGTAGTTGATTGTTCCTCTAATGTAATCCGAAAGGACTTTCGGATCGTCCACCTTGCCAGGTCCAGCAGGTTCACCGTTACTGGCTGTCTGCGATAGTTTGTCCGCATCGGCATACAAAGCATCCAATTCCGAAGTGTACAGTTCGAGTGAGGCAGCTCTCTGAATTGTTCCTTTTCCGGCACGAAGCATCGGCTTGTCTGGCTTTGTGAACAAAATGTGAGTTTTGGCCACGCGTGCATGAGCGGGACAAACCGCATTGGCTTCTTCAATGCTTGGCCAGAGTTTCTCAATCATCGCGGCGCGCTCAGGTGCACTGAGATCCTTGCCTCCAATTTCAACTAGGAGAGATGCTTGGAAGCGACGTGCCCCAGCCACTAAGACTGCGGTAATTTCTGGATTGGATGCAGCGATGTGTTGTTCCATAGACACAGGGTTTGTTTTCTCGCCGTTCAGGAAAACTATCACGTCATCTGCACGAGCGGCCCATCGCCACAGGTCCGGCTTATTGGGGTCCGGGTGCCGCACGAAGAGGTCTTTGGTGTGGTATTCCTGTTGATCCGGAAAGACTGTGAAGGTGAGCTGGTGTTTCTCAGACTTGGGGCTTCGGACAATCACTAGTTCGTAGTATTGATCGGCGACGTGGCGAAGCTCTGCTCCCATCCGGGGATTGATGTGAAGATATCGCCAATCCGTGCGAGGGTCTCTATTGGTTTTGGAATGAATGGTGCTGATCATTCCAACCTCAGAGGCACCGTAAAGATTCATGAGTCTAATCTTGGAGGCCACGGCGTCCCCAATCGGCTGGGGAAGATCTCCACCGCAGTAAACCAAGCGTTCAAGGTGCTTGCTGCAGTAGTCCAAAAGCTCCGGGCTCTGGGAGAATTCTTGGATGATGGAAGGAACACCCAAGAGAATATCAATCTGAGTCTTCTTTCTTGCCTCTACAAGGGAGGCGGCGGTAGGAAGACCGCCAGATGCCGGAAAGATGACGGTAGTGCCGACTGGGATGGTAATAAAAAGCGAATATGCCAGACCCGCAGCCTATAATAACATTATTAGATGTATATAATCTCTGCACGTATGCAGCGATACTCACATGGAATGGTGGCGGAACGAGGAATATCCGCTTGCCAAACAGCCAGCTATCCTGGCTCTCATGGCCCCTTGGGGGATCCAGAACCGTCGTATTCATATGCTTGCACGCGGTGTCATGGGTCCAAAAAATCGGCTTTGGGATACCTGTGGAGCCAGATGTATGACTGAAAAGTTAGTCTTTTATCGCTGCATGGTCAATCAGGGGCTTACATCACGGCGAGAACCTCCCCTGCAGCTTCCGGATAAGTCTTGGAGAACTCAAAGTGAGCATATTCTTGGCTTAGGAGATCATCGACACTAGGGACTTCCAAAATTTCTAGCGTTTGTTCCTCCAGGATGGCCTTGACTGGCGGTGGATGGGGTACTGGGGTGACTAGCTTAGCGCAACTCAGTCGTTTAAACAGGCTACTGTGAGCAGCCACGCTGTTCCTTGGGGAGGTGAGAAACATCTTCGATAATACAGTGTCAGCTTAACTATTTCAATGTTCTAGGTCATACCACATACGCGATATCCCGCCTTCACAGCACCCAATACCAATGCCGGGTACCGCAGGTCATTAGGTCCCACGTAAGCGAGGGTTTCACCGTCACCCGGACCTAGCTTCTCCGTTAGCCACCAGGCAATGCCGTTGATGGCATTGGCAAATGCTTTAAATGTTATCGGACGGTATCCATCATCGTAGCTCATCAGAGAGATTGGGTATTCGGCATAGATGGCGTCGGGTTTGACCTTGGCGTAGTGGTCAACGATATGAGGGAGCAGTTGCGTCCGCGGATCAAACTGAGAGGCATCTGGGACAGTCATGGTCGAAATCAGTTCTGGTTTGCAGTGTATTGAAGAACTCATTGACGTACGCAACTTGTAGAATTTATATATTGTTGTTGAGTAGAAGAATAACCGGCTTAGCTGGGACCATGTGGGGTGGAGATAGATAATGGCAGGCCAACGGTGTGAGGATATATCAACAGAACCAATAAGCTGCAGCCCCAATAAACTCGACAGCCTCATCGGATCATAATTACCCCATTGAGCGAAGGAATAGGTGATATGGCATTTGGGGGCCAATCTAGTCAGTCAGCGCTAGCAATGCAGCCAAACGGCTGAGTGGTAATGATCCAAACTTAGGCTCTGCTCTAACCACATCAATCAAGCCCTAGTCGCCCGAACAGCCGCTAATGATGGCGGCCTCGCGTCAGTGGATTTTTGGGCCAATTTATGTGACTTTTTGTAGCCTTGCGAATCTTGACGCAAATACGATTGGATCGTTCGCCTGGATCAAGTTGACCAACGTCTCCATTTCTTCTTTGGGGTTAGTTATGAACAGCAAGGTGGATAGCGTGCCACGTCCAGCTCGGTCGGAGGTGGGACTCATCCCGCGATGGGTCTCTGTAGAGGAAATAGATCGCCCTCACATCCAAGGTCTCTTCTCAATGATATCTCAACTCATGGACAACATGTATTTTTGTCCAACTATTAAGCATTAGAAGGTGAAAAATATATATCGACGGTAATATACAGTCTGGAAATATGAAGAAAGGTCCAGATCAATGCACCGAAAAGTGATGCTCCACCACAATCTGCCCCGGCTTGATATCTGCACTTGAACGACTGCCCAAGGTCACCATACGCAAGACATCTTCTTCACTTCTCGATGCCTCCATCCACGGAAATTTCGACTCGTTATGCGTGGACCCCAGGCCCGGTCGCAGTTGGCTGGCCCTGTGGCCCGTTCCCGTATGCAGAGATTCGCCCGTCTGACTGCGCTTCCTCAGAACGCGACGCCAAAGAAATTTCGTTAGCGGCCGATACGTAGGCAAACAGGCTGCTATAAGGTAAATTCCACCCTCAATCTCAGCCCAGACCACTAATGTCGAGGCCGCCCAGGTTACATCCCCTTGGACGTCAGTCACGTAGAATTCTCGGAATCGGATAATGGAAGAAACCATGCCCCTATTGTTCGGGCAAAGTTAGTGTCTCTCTCTTCAGAATTAGGATAATCCAAGAAGGAGAAATAAATGTCTAGACATACACACTACCCATCAGGAAAGTTACCCAAATACCCAATTTGAGACGACTTGAGGCATGCAGATTCCAAACCACCGGCATCGGCAATATCAACATGACAACATCCGTCAATATGTGCGCGAATCCTCCCCAGCGCAGCCACGCATTAATGTCAATGCAGCTTCCGTGGAACGTCCAGTAGTAACTTAGTGGTCGGCAGGAAACAACACCAGCGATAGTGACCACAAGCCAATTGATGATGATGACTGCTCCGGTGCCGTAGCAAATCTTTCGGAGCATCTTATCGGTGAAGATGCTCAGATAGAGGTGCAGAATAGCCAATTTTGGAGGTACGACGGTGGCGAAGTAGAGGAGCGGAGTGGTGATGAGGAACTTGGTCGCCGTCACCAGCATCTCAGGATCGATCTGGCGGATGATTTCTTGATGCAGGCCGACCCCGCCGTATTTCACAGCAGCTGTCGGGAAGTGCGAGTTAGGTATATTATCTGACGAGATGGCTAGGATATCACGGCCTACCTATTGTGCAGCTCGCATCGGCAACGCAGAGGATAAGGCCCACAACCATGAGAGCATCATCCCAGCCGAACTTCAGCCGTTCAACAAATTTAGAAGTAAAGCGCAGAACCACGCATACCACTTCCAGGACTATGAACACAATTGAAACGGTGATGATTAGGTGTTGTTTGGATTGATGAAGCTGCTCTTCCGAATGCTCGTCCATGCTGGCGAACTTGCGAGACAACAACCACACCTCAGTGGAAGTCAGGGATATTGAAGGCTGAACCTTCAGTGTATCGCACTAATTGAGTGGTAGGAAATTATATGAGAATCGTCGCTCGGTCTTTGAAATCCGGTTAAGTCGCTCTCGTTCATCTTCATATAAGCTCGGCGAGGTCCGTATACTCCACACGGAATAACCATCCCCAGCCATTCGGGACATGCGACTCGCAAATAGGGGTTGGAAAATAAAGCAACTTTCCGTATATAGCTATAAAGAGAACCCCAAGAACTGGTGGCAAGTGTACTCGGCAAGCATAATGAGAGCGGGTCTCCTGCATCTAAACAGTAGTAGGAATGCTAATCTGATCGCTCTGCAGGGCCCAGGCAGCGTTTAGCACCATATATAGAAGCTAAATTAGCACTTCCGCAGCTTCAGACATACTGCATCTTTACGTTGCAGCCTATGGCTAAGCCAATAGGCCTTGGAGTGGGCCAACTCGACTTCCGGAGAAATTTGATCTCGATTGCCCAACCGAGGACTAGCGCTAGACTATTGAATCTAGTAAGCCTCAAGAATAGACAGAGCGTGGTAAGCATAGTCTGTCCAGTCTGGACGTAGAAGAATCCTCCGGATCCGTGATAAAACCACTAGTCAGGGTCCACAGTAATGACAGGCAGATTAGTACGCTTTTAAGACGATTAGATGATGACTTCTCAGTTTATTTGGGAGCAAGAACAGAGCCCATAGCTTAACGGTAGAGCCTCGTTTGCCAAGGTTGAAACCCTATTCCATCAAGCGCGGCCAGGAAGGTTGTTCTTTGTTTCCATAAAGGGGAACAACACTCAGGAGAGTACTCGGCACTCGCTTTGATCCTGCAGCGCCGAATACAGCCATGGCCTCAATATCCTATATACTTTCAGACTACTATCCTAGAGCTATTCCCGTCTCTCTGGGGTAAACTTTATTGGCGAACACCGACACTCGAGGGTTACCTTGGAGTATCTACTATCTTTCGACGAATACGTAGAGTTTAGATGATATAGTATTATCATTTTCCATTCATATATAACCTAGGTACCAGCCAGTGGGGCCAAAAATAAAACAGCCATCATGATAGTATTACCTTTCACATTCTGGTAGTGTCAAGCCAATCGTGCGAAAAAAAAAACTATCGAATCCGGGCACATGTACTTCTCAATCTAACATATTGACATATACACCACTATGAACACTTTCTAGTATCAGCAAAGCCTCAACAGCAGGTCCTAGCACTTCACAATATAGTTCTCTTTCGATAGTTCGCTGGATGATTGGCATTCGGAATCATGGTCACTTCCCTGTAATCGCTAGGGTTTACTAATGAGGAACCACAAAAACACTTTAGGACTTTAAGAAGTAGGGACTGCTGTTCACTAAACTTCCACTAATGCTCGGCCTCCAAACATTCAGCCTAACGATACCAACCACAGCACGTTTGCCAGCTGTTCACCACCAATCCTAACTATTCTGACTTCAATGCATGTTGTCTATGGACCCATGATCCGGACCTGCTCTGAGAAATTTCCGACCACAACTCACACCGTGTTATCAAGTCCGTCCAACCCCAACATCCAAACCATGAGCAGATCCATCCGAAGATTGTCCACCCACACCAGCACCTCCACTCTCCCCTTTCACCTCATTAGACGGCGCCGTACCCAACGCCCTAATCTCCTCCCGCAGCGCATCTAGACGCCAAGACACGACTTCATCACTCCCATCATCATAAACAAGATCAAGATCCTCGTAATCAAGATCAAAAGAAACCGCCCCACCCTTCAAGCGCACTCTCGTCGTCAAAGCAATAGTGGTAGCAATATGCATGACTTCTCTGACACGGACGATATAACATCCTTCTCTGCGTTTGCCTATATTCCACACTATGGCATCTTGGTCCTCCCGTAGTGGCAAAGTAAGATCGAAAATGATCTTAGCGAAAGGGGGCAGTTTCATCATCTCCTGCCTCCACATCTTGGAGAGGGGTTGCAAATCGAGATCTCGTTCTTGAGGCTCAACCATAGAGTTGTAATCATAAGTGTGAATGGACGGTGACTGGGTGCATAATTCGAGGATGTCGGCTTTTTCGAGTGGGCTTAATAGGGCTAGTCTTGCTTCGCGCAGGGAAGGGGGTGGTTTTTGGTTAGGTTGTAGTTCGGATAGGTCTTCGCTGATGCAGAATTCGTGGGGGAATGAGGAGGGGAACATGGACTCTGCTGCAGGCATTTTTGAGCTCTTGGTGAGATATAGTCAGGGAGTAGTTGAGTTGAGCTGAGGATGTGGTGGGAAGAGTTGGATAATTCCAATGGGGAAAGCGTGACTGGTGTTTGTTTATGTGGCTGAGAATGACTGTATTCACTAAGAATCTCGAATGAAGATTACCGGATACCCTTAACGGGTATTATTCATTGCAGCTGATATTCACTTGCCCAGTCCGAATAACAGTGACTTACCGCCTGGTACTCTTTAGAAGGTCATCATGAAGTCGCAGCGCCGACTCTAAGACTCTTCTGACAAATACAAGCCTATTCCCGTTATCCCTTAATACTTGGACACACTTTGGAGACATACCAGCAAGCAGCAACCATAAGGACTACACCTAAGAGGCTGAGGAAGACGTAAACGCCGAGCCAAATTCCCGTCCTCTTCTTCCCCGTAATCATTGGGGAGATAACCCCATGGCCTTGGCGGAGTCTAGGGTCAGTCGAATCAATTCATTTCCATCCCTCCATACGGTAGTGAACATCGTTTCGTCTTATACTGTTTATACTGTAGAAAGCTTTCACCGGTAGACATATGGATCTGACGCTCTTCCCTTTGTCACACTAAATTAGATGGACGTGACTTGCTATTCAAATCGTTTATCTTGTACGCTCAAGATAAGGATACATCTAGTCAAGTTTTGATCTTAAGTCGCAACGTGACTTATGTAGTCCGTAAATGTATATGCCAAAGCCGATCAACCAGCCAACGCACAGGGAAGTTCGACGGTGAAATGCTCTGCGGCAGATACAGATACCAATCATTTTCGTCCACCAGGCTCATAGTACGTGTCAGCGCAGTGCACTCATAATAGAACGGATAGAAGCCACTGTCCTCCCAATCAATGATTCCAGTGACAATATATTGGCCGCTAGAACCGGGATCCTGCTTCACCATTATATTATCAGTTCGCACATCGCCATGGGTGAAGACCGATTCATGTGCCAGTGTCGAGGTGTCATGTTCCAGCAAAGAGCGCAGAAGTCCAACATAAGTGGCACTTCCATGATGTCGAGCGGAGAATTGTAGATCACTGTATTCTTTTGTTGTCGTGATGCCTTTGAACAGGGCGCATTCGTCGACCGTAAGCTCCTTGACTCCCTCTCCACAAGTTCCACCAAGCATATTAGTGCCCTCTTCCTGTCGGATTTGTCTTAGACTGCGAAATATATTATCAAGCTGGCGCTGGATTGACAGCTTGTTCTCATGTGACAGGTTAGGCCATGCTTGGGTCAAAGTCATGTCGGGAACATATGACATGAATATTACACGAAAAGGGCCAAATGCTATCAGCCCATGGGGTCTCGGGGCAGGAATTTGGGGCGCCCGCTTCTCAAGGAATTGCATGCTAGTGTACTCCGTATAGTCCCTATTCCCTGTTATGACCTTGGCAATAATGTTTTCGTTGCACTTAACCACCATGCCTCTTACACGACTTTGCCAGAGTTGTGGTGAGTTCCAAAGCAGCGTTCTCAATGATGATACGAGCGATTTCTCGTCACCGAGCGAAAACTGATCCCCGTCCGGTCGTGGACATCCTGCAAGCAAAGCAACAACTTCATCGGATAACGGATAAATGACTGTGGCAGTCTCCGCACGGTCGAGGTGAAGTTCTCTGAATTCAGGCGCCTTTACCTCATGTTCTTGTTTCTCCTTTGACGCGGCTTTCGCTCCAAGCGCCATTGTAATTCGACGAGTATAGTTCTTCGGGAAGTTTGATAGCAGGTTGGCTTCCGGGTCATGTCGCAGGTCGTCTTGAAGATTGCTTAATAACGGCGGTTGATTCTCCCGGCATAAGACAGCTGACTGTCTTGAACTTTTTGATGCTCATGGAGGTAAGCGTCAGAGAACATTGACATCAAGTCCGCCGCTGGGTCCTTCTCCAAAACGGCCTGGAACTCAAGCATTAACTCCCTGTTCCAGTGGGCCGCGTCAGCGTGGGATAGAGAGATGGGCACTGATTCACTGCCCATTTTGGCTGATTATAACGGAGTCTTGCTCTTAAGTAATGAAGTTGCAAGGAAGCAGAGGAGATGGGTTACGGAGCTTAATATAGCGAGGGATCTAGGCGCGGCCTGTCGCGATCAGGCACCCACGTAGTTCCCACCCAAAGCGGCCACCCATGTAATGCCATACCAGAGACACTTCAACAACCTACAGACTGTAATGTCTGCTAGTGCTCAATAACTCAAATTTTCCACAACTTGTCTGGATTAAGCTGTGCCCGTATTTACTCCACATGCAGTAGTATAATTAGTACAGAGTGGCAGAAGGAGCTTGCTCAGGGCAGATTCCGCCGTAATACATACTATCTACCATGACCTACAGCTTGCCCAAAGGGGAGAAGGCTACTAGTTAGTAACTGTCTTGTTATCCACGCAGATTAAGGTACAGTACTATTTCTGTCCCCAGTTTTCCGAAAAAAAAAAAAAAAAATTCCTCCCACAATGCCTCGTACAAAACAATCTATCTACAGATTCCACAATCTCAAAACCCCATCTGCGTCCGGAACGACCAGCAGCTGAGCATCACTCGAAACAGCCATCCTTCCCTCAGGGCTCGTGTCGATTTTATACCCCGCACCTCTCGTAAACTGCTGCTTGAGATTACTTTGGAAATCATACGTCTCCACCGTCCCCTCCCCGGTCCGGAACACCAACTTTCTTCCCCCATCAACGAACTGCACGCTTTGAATCCCTGCAAAGCTCCGCATCACGGGATCCTCAAACGCCAGACGCCATTGCATCTGTTCCTCGCCGGTCAACGGATCCCAAAGACGCACTGTGCCGCTGTCCCCTCCTGCTGCAATCACCGTACCGTCAGGGCTCCAAGCTAGGGTACGTGCCCAGTGACGGAATCCGTCAAAGCGAGAGACGGACTGTCCTGTTTGAAAGTCGTAGACATGGATATGGGTTCTGGGGCTTCCCTGGCTGACAGCGAGGTACTTGCTATCGGGAGAGAAGGCGCCGCTCCAGAGCTGACAGTCCCCGAAACCAAACACGTGGACACAGTCTCCGGAGTTGGCATTCCAAACTCGTGCAGTGCCGTCCCATGCGATGGACGCAACTAGAGTATTGTCAGGACTCATCCCGGCCCACATGATAGAGTCTGTGTGGCCGAGCAGTCGGTGTCGAAGAGACCGGCTCTGCATGTCCCAGAGATTAACGCATGGGAGGAGAGCAGGGTCACGAAGTTCGTGCTGGGTTGTTTCGTTCTGACTGAGATAGATCATAGTCTTGCCATCTGGGCTGAATGTGGATCTACCGAAGGAGGCCAATTCGCCTTGAAGACGGAGTTTGCTTTCTTGTTCGTGTAGACTGACGGCGTTTCGGAGAGCCTTTTTCATGGCCTGTTCAATGGCCTCCATGGCTTTTTCATCACGTTTCCAGCTGTAGTTGGACACTAGGTCTGATATAAGGGGCTGTAGAGTTCTGCTCGTGAGGGTGTCGACGTCAACTGGCCTGTCTTCCTTTTGTCGGAGTCCCCCGCGCTCGTCCAGCTCCCATAGGACGATCACCGCGAAATCAGATCCCTCATGGCGGTAACCCTCTCCAGCACTCTCTTCAATGTCCTCGCCTGTCGAAACCAGGACGTACCGGGTGCCTTCTGAACCCACGGTATTGATAATCTTCGGAGCAAACTCCACCTGCTCCAAGGCGCCCGTATGTCCTCTCAAGACATCAACACGTTCCTGTGTCTCTGCATTGAAGACATGGATCTCAGTATCAATTCCCACGGCAATGATCTTGTCATCAGGGCTAAGAGCAAGAGCGTTTGCCTTCCCCTCTAGCTGAATTCTTGCTGTTTCCTGACCCCAGTGTTTGGGATAACCAGGCGCCCAGGCGGCAGGCTCCCCAGTGGGAGAGCAGAAGTCATGCTCAAGGGCATAGACGTAGTTTTCGAAAAACGTGCTTTGGTTCATGCACCTCATATTCCCCGGCAACAAAAGTTGATGTGGAGGGTGGTATCTGTGTTTGGGGGAATGAAAAAGCCTTTTAGTAGGTAGAGCTAACTGAGTCGGTGAATGAACGACCACGAGGCTGTGCTGGTAGCTTTAAATAAGACTGTAGCATTGCGAAAAGCCTGGTGAGCCTCACGCCAACTAATTAGCTAGTTACACTCCAGCAGGGAGTAGGATATTTCCGAGCAATGCCACATTCTGTGTAGCCAATGAGACACTGGGGTCTGGAGGCCATGACAGCTGGGCGAGTGAGTCAGTCTGTAGTAGTTCATTTGCGGGCTGCAGGCAACAAGCAATTCTGGATCTGCAAGCCCCACTTAGACGCTAGTACTATCTACTTATGCATTGATAGCTGGTCAGTGGCCAGGCGAGGCACGTGCAGGACACAAATGGAACAGGCTGTTAGTACGAGTTGATGGTCCCTGGCATGAATTTAATTAGTGCCTATCTAACCGGATGGTGAATGAAGGTGGTATTCGATTAGTAACATGTTATATCCTATGCCATTGTGGCGAGGTGGTTATTCATGGATCAACTCAGCAATCGAGATCTAGAAACTATGTAATTCGAAGGTAATCCAAACCCAGTAGGGTTGAAACTGGAATAAAGGTATAGTGGCAATCATTTACTATGGCCGTACATGAAGCCCCAGTCTGATTAACTGATCGACTTATAGCTCCATAATGCATGTGGGTTGTAGATAAGATCGATACTCCAAATATCGACTCAAAATGTGACATGTACCATTCGCAATCAGTCATAATCACTTTTCACCCAAAATCTAGCAACCAATCCGCCGCATTATATCCAGAGTGAAGAGTGTATCCAACCCCATAACGAAAACTGGCAAAAGTAACAGCAGATGTGAAAAGAACAAATACACCAGTGACCAAGGCCAGCCTAATCACGTCTAGATATATAAACAAGAACCAACCACACACTCGTCAAGCATTTTACTCCTTCTTCTCCTCCTTTGCCTCAGCAGCCTCCTTCTTAGGCTCTTCCTTCTCCTCCTTGACCTCCTCAACCTTCGTCTCCTGTCCATTATGAGGATGCAAGTAATCCGACTCGGACAGACTCATCTTCCTCTTCCTCAACCGGTCCTCCTCAGCAGCAACCATATCCTTCCACAGATCACCCGTGTGCTCCTGCTCAGCATTCTTCCTCTCCTCAGCAGCCTGCCTCTCGGCCTTCACCTTATCCTGCAACAAGCCACGACCCTTCCTCTGATCCTGGATCTCAAACGCCGCACTAGCCACCAACACAGCGAGAGTCAAGCCCTGGGCGTAAACTCTGGCCTGGACCAACTTCTGTGATCCACTGAGGTGCTTATTCCGGTTGACCATGGCGAAACTACCGACCATACTAGCCACCCACGTGGCACCGACAATCTTGTACTTCTCGCGGCGGGCCCACTGAAGCGCGCGATCGAGCGTGGACAGCTGCGACAATTCCTCCTGGCGGAGACGCTCCTCGCGGTTTTCGTACCATTGGCGACTGGCGTTGCGCTGGGCTTCGAAGTTGCGGGAGGCGTGGTCGGCGCTGATGATACCCACGAAGGTACCGGAAGAGGTCACGAGGAAGGATTTCATGGGAAGAGTGAGGTTGCGGATGGTTTGGTAGCGCCTAGTGGCGGCGAGAACACCGGCTGCGCCGCCTACTAGACCGATGAGACCACCGATAGTACCACCCTTGACGACCTCGCTGGAGAATTGCTGGGTTAGTTACTTGGTTCGAAATTAGGGTGGCGGGGAGGGCGGAAGTACCGGTAGTGGGCATCTTCTTCTTCTTTGGTGAGGATCTTCATTGTGATGGTATTATATGAAGAAGCTGTAGGTAATTGATTGCAATGGAGGTAGATATGTATGTATTAGATGCCTTTTTTGTGGAAGGAGGAGAGTGAATTGAAGAAGGGAAGAAAAGCAGAGGGAGAATGATGCTAGAAATACGTGCAAAGCCCGGGTGACGTACGATCTGGACGCTCGGGGTCTGCGGCGGAGACTCGGACCATCCGGCGTTTGCCCGGGATCCTTGATAGCGTCGCCGAATTGCAACCGTTTTTACTGCTTTGGTTCTACTTTGTAAGCTGCGTCTCGCGCGAGAACGCCCGACCGTTTATCTAGTGCCTTCCCATTCGCTATGGCATGATCCAATAATACACATTCCGCCCTGCGCCGCCTCCCGAAAAATCTACGAAATAAAACCTGACATACATATGAGATCGAAAAAGGAAATAGAACAAGAAAGGTACAGCCAGAAGAATAAAGAATTAATAATTGAAGGAATGAAATTTCTTCAACGACGGGATCCCTTGCTCGCCGCAATCTGCCGCGCCCGCATCTTACGGAAGCGATCCTCGCCGCTCGCTCCCAGAGGTCGCGCAAACTTGCTCTCCTGTACCATCGTCGGTCGCGGCACCACCGTATAACTCGTGTGAGTCATGTCAGCGCGCGCGCGATTCGCCAGACGAGGAGGCAGTAGCTCACGGGCACGAGCCTCTGCAGCAGTGGCATGTACCGATGGAGTGCGTGTCGTGCTCAGTTTACTGTTCCAGTCAGTGATACATTCGAGGTAGTAGGGTCTGAGTAAGGAATGAACATACGTAGGATCAAAGGCAGCCTCCTGGTATACCCTCTTCGAGTAATCATCGCTGCGCTGGAGGATCGGGCGCGTCCATTCGGCCAGCAGGCGCTCCGCCATGCGCTTGATGCCGGGCTCTGGACGCTTGCTCCGCGTGTAGAAGACAATGACCTTGCCGATACCACTGGCAACCAGAGCTTCCTTGTTGATCGGCAGCTTGCCCAGCGCAGTCATCAGATCCCGCTGAATGTTGTACGCCGGCAGGGAACCATCATCCAAGGGCTCCAGGAAGAACTTGACCGCTTCCAGCAGGTTGATTTCGGGGTCAACCAGACTGTTCACGTACTGGTTGCGGTTGAGCAGCGAGACCACCTCAGGAAGCATCTTCAGCTTGTGCATGGCAGGCTTGCCCTCGCGACGGTTGATAGCGTCCATCTGCGCAGCGTGGGTCATGCGCTTGCGCATATCTTCGATTTCAGCATCGGCCATTTGTTCCAGGTCCTGTTATGGTCAGCCATCACCCAGAGAAGTAATAGAAGTGAACATACAATGCCATCAGCCTTTCTAAACCGTCTCTTGGTCGGCTTCTTCAACGCCTCGTCCATCGCGCGATCAAGCGCTCTCCGCCGTTCTAAACATAGCAATTAGCATCATCCATACCATCCTCAGCAGTAAGAAACATACTCGTAGCCGGATCCAACATCTCCTCTTCCGCAATCTCTGCCTCCTTCTTCTTTCTCCTCCGACTAGCCTTCTCCTCATCGCTCGCGCCTCCATCCTCCAACTCCCTCATCCTCCGACTCTTCTTCTCGCGACGTCCCTCTCTCTTCCTCTTCGAGCGCTCTTCATCCCCGCCCTCTGTACGCTTCCGCTTATGCCGTCCGATCAGCTTCAAGTTATCCTCGTCAATCGCCAGCTGCGGCCGGTCCTCGATGTCGACATTCTCGGGATCGAAGTCCTCGAACTGGGCTTCGTCGACTTCCGAAAGAATCGATTCGTCGTCGGAGATCTTGTCTTCGTCGTCATTGTCATCATTATCGCCACCACTGTCTTGCGCGGCCTCTTCTTCTCCTTGGTCTTGTTCTTGTTCTTGTTGCTCTTTGGCTTCTGGCTCTGCCTGGGCGTCTACCTCCTTAGCGGGTTCTTCGTCGGAAACGGCGTCGCCGCCGGGCGTCGGGGGCGCTTCCTGCTGTTGTTCTTGTTCATCCACTTCAGCGGCGGGCTTGAGCTCGGGCTCGGGACTGCGCGGTTCGGACATGATTGTGTCTTGTGAAAAGGCAGTTGTGGGGAGGTTGGGTGAATATGTTACTTTCTCCCCTGATGAGGAGTGGTCGGGGGTCGGCTAGACCAGGTTTCGTGAAGCGTAAGATGGGATAGATCGATTCTCAAGACCTTATTTGCCGGAATTCCAGTTCTGTTTGTACACTTTATATGCTTAGGCGAGTTATTCCTTAGGTGATAATGAAAGTAATGAGAAAAGAGAAAATGAGAGAGAGAAAAAGCGAAAAGAAATGGCAGGTTTAAGTAAGTAGTAACACCGAGCAACCGCGCAAGAAGTTGAAGCAAGCAAGACCCAAAGCAAGCAGATTCCGCCTCCGCGGTGGTCTGTGCGCGGCAGAATCGAAACCCATTCATTCATTCATTAACTAGTGAGTTATTCAACCCATTCATCATTTCTTGAACATACATCTATCTATCTCTCCATTGACCTTTTTACCCATAAACCACTATCACAATGTTCGCCCCAGGTGAGATACTTTTAAATTGATGAAATGTCTGCATTATGCTAATTGTTACCAGGCCAGGAACAGCTCTCCAAGGAGGAGATCAGAGTATTTCACCCAATTCCTCTTCATCGTTATCATCGACCCCGAGCAGAACATAACATACTGACATTCTATTTTTCTTTCTTTCTAGGCCGGTGAGGTCCAGGCTAGCCAGACCATCCGCATGGCTGTCTCCGGTGGTATCCTGCTTTACCTTTGTGAGTTCTTCGCATGCCCCGGAATATCTGTTCTACGAACTAACAAATGATTTAGCTCCCTTCGCCATCGACTTCGTCAAGAAGTTCCTGTAATCGCGTGTCGACTACTTTTTCTCCATTTTACAACACACAATGCATACAAGGGATAGGAAGGAAGGGCATCGCATAATGTATTATATTGTACATCTCGAGTTGCAGAAATGAATATGAATCTCAAATGACCAGCTGTCACGGTTACTTTTCATGCTCTATTAAACCACGTCTCGTATGCAAGACGTGCGGATACCAGCTCCTATAAACTCCATGCTCCAAACAGCACAAGCCAAACAACCAGACAGTCCTTCAATTCATGATATGATGGAATCGCGATTAAGCATCAACAGCATCAGTGGTTCACGGCTCCCCCGGGAAGCTTCTGTGCCTCCTCAAAGTCCTTTCTCACTGCTTCGAGTTCCTTCTGCAAGTGTTGGATTTGCGTGTGGTAGTCATCCAATATCTAGACATCATTAGCATATTCTGTAATCATAACTGGAAGTAAGCAACTTACCTTCTTGGCCGTCTTCATCGTCTGCTCGTCCAGCTCGTCGTCCGCCTGCGCCGCCGCGCTGGGTCCGGCCCGCTCCATCTCCTGCTGTAGACGTCGCGAGTGTTCCCGGATCGCCAGCATGCGCGCCCAGATCTCCTCCGCCCGTCCATTAAGTGACGGGTCAAAGACCGACCGCTCCAGCTGGCTGAGCTTCTTCTTCAGCTCCTCCTCCGCGTCATCCATGGCGTAACCGCGATTCCGCAGCACCTGCGTCTTGGCCGCAAGCGCCAGACACCGCTTGCTGAGGACGAGGTGTTTCCGGCGGCAGTCGGCGATCTTGACCGAAATTTTCAGATCGTGCCGAGACAGCAGATCCGACAGGCAGTTGTTGATCTCGTGCAGTCGCGTCTGCATCATGGTGAGGAAATCCTTCTGGCGCTGCGCGCGCTTGCCCAGCTCGAAAAAGCCCTTGACGAGCACGGGAACATATCCCGAATCGGGCCGCTTCCGCAGCGCATCCTCCCATTTTGTGTCATCGTCCTCCGGACCCGGCTGGTAGAAAGGCGCCATTTCTTCGCCGACATTGTTATACAAGTACGCGCGGAAGGGGGAGGAACGGCTGGACGCATCCCACTTGTCCTTTACGATCTGAATCTGCATCGGTACGGTGCGGTGGACTACAACCATTAGTACGTCTAGCATAAAACATTATCATCTGCAACATACCTCCGGTAACTGCACGGCCCGGCTCCCACAGACTCGAACCGAGCTGTGCCGTTGACTGGCCCATCTGAGTCTGGCCCAATTGGGGCTGCTGCTGTTGCTGCGCCGGTTGCTGTTGCTGCTGCTGTCCTCCTAGTAGAGAACCTCCGAACAAACTCGGTTGTTGCTGCTGTTGTTGAGGCTGCTGCGTCTGGCCCAGCCCACCAAACAGACCACCACCCTGCTGCTGCGGCGCCTGCGACTGCTGTTGCTGACCGAACAAGCCGCCTCCACCTCCTCCAAGGGGTTTCTGCCCGAACAAGCTCCCTCCAGTAGTCTGCTGTTGTTGCTGCTGGGGCTGTTGCGTCTGCCCCAGTCCTCCGAAAAGACCACCACCGGCTGGCTTCTGCTGGGTCGCAGTTTGACCGAACAGTCCGCCGGATGGCTGCTGGGTCTGCGTGTTCGCGGCGCCGCCGAAGAGACCTCCTCCCGACGGTTGCTGGGTCTGCGTCGCACCTCCGAACAATCCGCCCGTGGGGTTCTGCTGCGTAGTGTTTGTCGTCGAGGTATTTCCGAAGAGACCACCACCTCCGCCGAAGGGACTGGGCTTATTTGCGGTGTTGTTGGCTTGTCCAAAGAGGCCGCCGCCCGTCGACGGGGCCGCAGCTTGACCGAAAAGGGACATTGCGAGTTGCGTTGTGCTTAGGTTGAATGGCGAGGAAGATAAAAGGCGATATTGAGAACAACACGGTAATGGAAGGAACAATTGCAATTAATAAGGTCGGTCACTCCGCAACGAAGGCGCAATAACACTCAATTGAACCCAAGTCGGTAAATAACGATTTTCTATTAGATGTCAACAATGTAAGAATAAGCAGGTGCGATAATGCGACTAGTCCCACAACACACAACCAATTTCAATAAGGGAATAAAGGGGATACCCACAGACAAGCAGCAGAAATAGAAGCGCAGTGCGCGGCATCAACAACAGCCGGGCAATGCTGGCGTGAGTTCCATCGGGAAGCTTTGTTTTTCGCACGGTTACGGTCACGTGTGGAGCTCCCTCATGCCTGAGGCAAGGAAAACAGCCAGCTTTCTATTGATGCCTGAGGATTCCGGCCATCAGCAGATTACCTAACCCATCCATCCCAACCAATCAGCAACGAGCAAAAACCACTCCTTCCAAACTCGCAGCTTCACCTTCCACTCGGACCCGGCGAACCATCTCCATCAATTCGATCCCCCTCTCCTCGACTTTTCCCCCCAGATCCGGTCCATTGAGTCCTACGCCCAGCGGTCACCATGGCGTCCAGAGAGCCCCAGTACGTTGAAATCCTGCCAATTCCCCAACCGGCCACTTCCACGGGTTACCCTTGACTACTACAACCACGACGACATATAATACGACACATACATACATACATATATATACATATACGCAACGCAATTGAACAATGACCAGCTCTTTCTAACGGAAATGACTGCTCCAGGTTTAACCAGCAGGTGCTGGTCGACACGACCCCCATGCCCGATCACATCCCCAAAGTGGAGGAGATCGGTGCTACGTCGGCGCCGCTGTACAGCGCGGCCTACTTTATCGGAGACCGCTGCAAGCCCTACAACGACGACTTCATGAAGTGCAAGGACGAGTCGAACGGGCGCGGAGAGCTGGACTGTCTGAAGGAGGGTAGAAAGGTGACGCGCTGTGCGGCTAGCGTGTATGTTCCCATGCTCTGTTCAATTGGTTTTCAAAGGGCCATTGAGCGATGATACACCGCAGAAGGAATACTGATTCATCAATGGATCTACAGAATCAAGGACATCAACACCCACTGCCTGAAGTCGTTCACCGCTCACTGGGAGTGCCTCGAGAACAACAACCACAAGCTCTGGGAGTGCCGTGCGCAGGAGATGAAGCTGAACAGCTGTGTTTTTGAGAAGCTGGTGCGTTTCCTTCTTCATACCTTCACACCTGATTGATTTCCATTCCTGGTTCAACTCCGGTCTGTATACTACAAACCAATACTAATTTGACTGGTATAGGGCCTGAAGAAGGAAATTCCCGGAACCCCCGAGAACGTCGTCCCCGTGCACTTGCGCCCCAAGCAGATCTACTCTGACTGGCCTGGTCGGCAATATTAAAAAGAAATACAAAATGAAATATTTTGAGGGGAGCATATATCATTGTGTTTTTCTTAACTGAACTACTACCACTAACTTAACGTGTCTTTTGTATTCCGGTGTTTTCCTTTTGTTTTCTCTTCCGTCTCTCTGGTTGACGTCTGTTTGTGTATATATTAGCATATCAGGAATGTCATTGGTTCCGAGTCAGTCATTAGTCTGTTAGTAGATCTTGATGATTACTTGTCGACCACTAGTAGTAAGTATAGATAGTATGAATGGTATCAGATGATGATAATGATGCATAGACTATAATCCAGGCTCCAGATCTATAGACTGTAAATCACCTAGAATACAAAAAGTGTGCAACCAGAACACCGCAGGAATATGCAGACAGCTACCCACTGCAATGAAGTACAACACCTCAGAAAGAAGTAGAGAAGTAGACAGACAACCTCTAATAATCAACCTGACACAACAACAAAAGAAATGAATAATAAAAGAAAGAGGTATAGGTATAGGTATAGGTATAATAAGTAGAAGTAAAGATAAGAAAGAGAAGAGAAGGGGGAAAAAAAAGGTATATATGTATATGTACCAGAAAAAGACAAAAGAAATGAACTGATGGTAATAGAAGCGGTAATAAAGAAACCTCACGAGGCCTTATCACCAGACGAAGATGAAGATGAAGATGAAGACGTAGGAGATGCGGACACCACCCTCCTAACCCTCCTAAACAGCATCAAGAATACCAACCTCGTCTTCACCTCCGCCCAACCCACCTTCAACTTCTCCTCTAATCTGCGATCTCCCCGCAGTCTCATCCAGATCAGAAGCATACCGAGCAGCGCCAAGTCGACCATGATCTGTCGAGCAGCGACCCAAACCAGCCACTTCAGCCAGGCCCACAGGCCCGTTCGTCGACGATGAGCTAGCGCTCGCGCTTCCAATTGTTCTCGCACGGCAGCGATCTCGGCGGTCATGGTCGTCAAGGCCTGCTCGACGGTGCGACGCCAGCGTTTGGAGTCGTCCGGGGATGTTAGTGGTGGTCGTCGTTGTCTTCGACTTAGGGTAGTATCGTGATCGTAGTCTTCCTCTTGGTGGGAAGGGAAGTTGTACCCTTGTTGTTGGTGATGGTAGTCATGCGATTCGTGACGGTCGTGAGTGTTGTTGTTGTTGTAGTCTTCTTCGTCTTCCTCCATATGTTCTTCCTCTTCGTCGTTGTCGTCTTCATTCTCATACAAATTATCCTGCGCTTCCGCGTACACTTCCTCCTCCTCCTCCTCCTCTTCTTCCTCTTCAGGTGGTTCATCCTCCATCTGTCGCCGAAACCCCGATTCCGCCTGACTAACCGGACTCAACACCCGCAATCTCTCACTTCCTCTCCCTCTAGCCGTGGTAGCAAGTAACTGCTCATACTCCGGACGAGTCAATCTATTACTAGATTGCTGGAACTGCTGCTGTTGCTGCTGCTGTATCCGTGCATGATCCCGTATGGACACCGCTGCCGCTGAAGCCACCGGACTCCCCAGGCCCTGAGACGACGACATAGACGACGAAGACGGGTTGGATTTGATCTGATCCCAGACGAATTCCAATTCTGCGACGAGTTCCCTTGCCTCAGCTGTTTGGGAAGCGTAATTGTGCATGGTTTCGATGAGGGTGGAGATGTAGCGTCGTTTGGCTTCTGTTCGGGAGAGGCCTCGTTGAGCGTGCCATGCGTCCCTACAGTATGATTATTATTAGCATACTGATACTGATAGCATATAGAAAGAGAAGATAAAGGAAGGGGAATTATATACCATTTCTCACACTCCATAAACACATCCGCGGTATTCCCGACCGGTCGATCCATGACGCCTTCGACATCGCCTTCTACATTATTTCAATTAAACCCTCGTCAGCATATCCCATTCCATTATCATCGACGCAACACAAATCCTCCCCAGTGTATATAAATGAAGTGGAGGAAATACCCATGCTCTGTTTATACAAGCCATAAAGCTTCAATCTCTCCGACGCCGGCGGTCTAGCGGTCCCCGTGCGGGGAATGCGTTTCACCGTGTTAAGGGCATGGACGAAGACACGATCTAAACATTCATATTGATCAGCACATTATCTTTCCCCCCAGAATTATATCCATCCCTCCAGTTATTGTTATCCAGTATAGTATGTAAAGTAGGTAAAGGTCGGGGGAATCAAACGCACCCACTGAATCCGACATGGTGCGAGGAACAAGACGTCGGACGGCTTCAGCAACATGAGAGCAGACGGGGACGGGAGTGCGCGCGATGATAGGTCCGCATCAGTGTCTTGCTGAGTCGTGTCTCTGTATTGGAACGTAGTTGCGTTGTGGTGTATGTTTATCGGTGCGAGCAAGAAGAGGGAGAGTGTGTGTGTTGAGTGTGTTGGAGTCGGAGCTTCCCCGGATTTCGGCCAAGGGAGAGAGACAGAGTGCGCGCGCAGGACTGGTGATAGTTGATTCGGGGGGAGAAATAATTGGAATTGGATGGTGATAGGTTTCAGCACGCGTGCAGAGCTGGTTGGTCGCGTGGTGATTGTTTGGGAGGGAGGAGTGTGCGAGGCTGCGAGCTGAGAGATCGGTGGTGTGGTGGTTGTGGTTGATTGCTTGATGCATGATGGGGAGCGATTGAACCGCGGTTGTCGGAGTTTAGTCCCTCTGGCTGCTCAGCCAGCCCAACTTGTGATTGATCGGCTATCTATCGATCTATTAGATGCACCCTACTTCGCGCCATTGCATTCATGCTTTTTACTTATTTTTAAGTGACTTCTTTATGGACAATACTATCATCACAGATAGCTTCTTTTATTTTTTTTTTGTAGATGCTAATGTATAAGTATATTCATTATAGCTTCGAACCTAATTATATACAAACAAATCGCTAATATAGGCATTCATTCCTTTCCCTCCTTCTCATGCGCCGCATAAGTATTCTCCGTATCAATGGGTTTCCCCGTCATCACACCAGGCATATCCTCGTCCGCGATTGGTGGCCCTGTGAAATGCTTGCGCGCGTACACCACATACCATAGGATACTGATCGCCGCAAAGCCGGCAAACACCACACTCGCGTAGTTCATGCTACTCGCATCCACCGGCAACGAGGTGGGCATGCAGAAGAGCACCACAGCCAGGCAGATCCAGCAGATGGATACGATATTGATCGCGTATCCGAATCGTCCCAGCGAGAAGCTGGATTCCTTGACGGCTTCGCGTCCCCGAAGCACGCAAATGAAAATGGGAAGGCCATACGAGATTGACAAACAAATGGTGGCTACACCCGTAAACGAGTTGAAGGCCGCCGAGGACCCAAAGTAGATCAGTCCTAACAGGCAATCGACAACGGTGGAGAGGATGATGGCCCACACTGGCACATCTAACTTCGTGTTCACTTTCCTCCAGAGCCGGAAGCCGGGGATGGCTCCGTCACGAGCAAAGGCATACGTGCATCGACTAGCAGCCGTCAATGCGCCAATCCCCGCAAACACCATGATTCCCAGCACCAGGAACAGCAGCCCGAAGCCTCCGCCAGCGGAGCCGGTGGCAGTCTTGAAGATGAGTCCGATAGGCTGGCCGCTGGCCACAGCCAAAAGGGTCTGCACCGGGGGCAGAACAAACATGATAGGGATCAGATAGACCAGACCTGTGATACCGGCCGCTACCACCGATAGCACAATAGCCTTGGGGACCTCCCGATGCGGGTTCTGCACTTCCTCACACATGGCAGCCACCATGCCGTATCCAGTGAGTGTGTATGCTGCCTGCAGCAGACCAACAAAGAACGCCCAACCAGCAGGCCTAAACATTATCAGCACGGGTCCATGAACCAGCCCCGGAAAACAATATAAAGGGGGGAATCATACCATCCACTCTGCGAAGCATCATAATGCGCAAAAACAAACTCAGCATCGCGTCTCTCATCCGCCATGGTCAAAAGTGTCACGAGAATAATCACGACACTTCCTGCCGTCCAATAAATGCACACTTTATTGATCAAATCCAACCACTTGGAAAAGAAGATATTCACCAACGCACAGCACCCAATCACCGCCCAAAACATGAGAATAGTCTGCCAGGCATTGGCGACAAAGTCCTCATTCCAGAGCGAAATGGCACTGAGGATCAACTGGCCTCCCGAGAAGGTGATACTGAGTGTGACGGTCCAATTGCCCACGAGGGTGAGCCAGCCATCGATGAAGGACATGGCGGGGGCCCATTTGCGCGTGGAGAGCATGGCACTCCAGTAGTAGACTCCGCCGGCGGTGGGGTAGACGGCGCAGATCTCGGCCAGCGAGGCGGCAATGGCGATGGAGATGAGGGTGACGACGACCCAGCCCCAGATGACGCTGACGGATTGGCCGTCGGTGAGGGTGATGTAGAGGGTGGTGCTGAGGCCAAAGGGGGCGGCCATGATGGCAAAGGAGCTGTTGATACATTAATTAGTGAGTGATGTCCCCTTTCCCTACTGATAAATATATATATATATATATATATGCTGGAATGGGAAACATACAGGCCGAGAATACTCATCATACTCAAATTGCGAGGCAATTCACTCTTGTAGCCCATTCTAGCCAACGCCTCATCGGCGTTGGCATCCATGGAAGGTTGTCGCATGATGGGCAGTCAATCAGGTAATTAATCAAGTGAGTCGTGTGTCTTTCTTTATGAATTGAAAAAAAGAAGTAGGTGTGTATTCCACTAGAATTATCTCTCAGGAATTCAAGTCTCTTAATTTAGGATAGACATATCGTCATGAAACAAAATCCAGATCCCAAAGGTGAGGGATGGGAGTAGAGTGAAGAAAGAAGAGAGGGAAACACGGACAGGATAATGAGGGGAATAAGAAGGAACAAGAGAGAAGAAGAGGAAGAGCAAGGGGCAACTTTAGCTTCCAGTTCCTGAACTCAACTGCTGCTGCTGCTGCTGCTGCTACATCATCCCCCGCACTTACTTACACTGTTTAAACTCTGTCAATCCCATAATCCACCAGGATATCCACACGACAAGAGACAAACGACAACGACAACAAGTGAAAGTGACTCCATCAATTGCCACTTGCCAATGAGAATCCTCCTCCCCGCGATAAGCTCCCCGACTAAAACTCCTCCGGTGTCGGGCTAGTGGTCGGCGGTCCGAGACCGCGCTGATAAGTGATTAACACCCATTTTCGCCCTGCTAGATAATACATAAACTACTAACTAACATAGTTAGTTATCAGCCCAATGATGACTTAATCCTATCTTTTATACTTCTTATCAAATTTGTATATGCCTTTGGGAAACCTTCATCAATGAAGAAGATATCATCAGTCCCACTTACCTGACTACTACCTACCACACATTATAACTTAACTACATCATCATCATCACCACCAACAATGTACCCAATGCAAATGCAGGTCTGCTCTCTCGCCACCAGTACCCCCCTGACTGGGTTCTTTAATGCATCCATGCATATTCTCCCCGCATCTGCACGTTCGGAACCACTACATTCCTTTTCTGCAGTGTCGTGTACATCATAAGCTAGGGCTCGTGACACTTACAAACACGAGGGCGAAACAAAACTTTACTTATTACTTATTTTGTTCGCAACTGATGCCTCGGAAAGGGATCCCGCCGGATAAGTTTGACTGACTGGGTCATGGCCTCCGCGCGGTTCTCCTCTCTCTCTGTGTGTGTGTGGTGGGGGAGGGGGAGAAGGGAGTCTCATCATATCCGCTCGCTCCTCACTTTTGCGAACCATGGTGCTGAAATGCCTGGTTCGTGGGGTAACAGGATGGGTGCCAGATCTGGGTCTGTCTACGAGGGATTACTACTGCCTAAATTGACAACATCTTATCTAAATAGTACTGGTAGTAGTTAAATACTGTAGGGCATATTTAGAAGGCGAGGATATATCTACTTCAGTTATAGATTATATATATATATAGCACTCTTCCTCGGGTCAAATAATAGTATGATTTCTAGCTATTTCGGAGTTTCAAAACTATCCATTTCCAACGTACATCACGGCTGGTGTCTTGTCACTCACTACTACTAAGTAAGTGACGGCTGCCACATCCATTGCCACCCCTCACCAGCAACACTCGAGCCTCATGTCGGACTCCAGTGCTCAAACAGGGCATCAGGCAAGGATGAGCGCCACGGAATAAAGATAGAGAAAATGCGGGGGAGAAAGCGGGCATGAGGGGGAAGGGATAACAAACACATCAGGTCGACCGAGAGGGTAAGATCGAACGAATAGGAAAACACAGGGGAAGGGCATGTAGGTGGGGGGTATCAAACAGGGGGAAAGTGGTTCACTATAACAGAGACAAGTCCATCATCTTCGCAGGAGAAAATTCCATTGATATCGAAATGGAGGTTTTTGTGTTTGTCTTTTGTGATTTTCTTTTTTTTGTGTGTGTGACATGTCTAGTGTACGTGCGGACCAGAAGTAGAGGGGCGAAAGTAGGCCCCAATATCTCTCCAACAGATAGAGGTAAAGTAGGGAGAGGGTCCAGGTAGGCAAAGGAGGAAAGGTGACAAAGGGGCACGGTAGATAGGAGGGAAGATAGGGGCAACGAAAGCAGGGAAGAGGGATGGATATCGACGGGGGGAAACAAATGATCGCGGGAACGGCGGTGGGTGGGCCAGCCCGGGCATCAAGAACGCCTGGCGTTGGGTTGGGTATGGCGGATGGCCACCTGGCCGACTTGCCCACCGCCACTTTTTGAGGGGGGCCAGCCGGTCGCTCTCCTTGATTTTGTATACTGGACTCCTTCGCCTTCATCACTTCAATCAACTCCCTCGCAGACAATGAAAACAAGATCATGCATGGCCTCCAGTAGACAAGGCCTCAAGTTGAGTCGCAACCAGCCAGCTAGCTTCAACTCCGTCGTCAATGATCATCGCCCAAGTGATCACGAAAAGAACCGTTCAAAAGCACAGAAATGGGGAAAAATAAAACAAGCAAAACAATTCGCAAACGCCCAGTCATGCAGTCGTCAATCCAGATAAAGTCGTTACATGTTGATGCAGTGATAATAGCACGCCAAATACAATGAGGTCACGCACGCACGGCCCCTAGCATCATGGGCTCAGAACGTTGCAGATGTCGTCCGTTCCATCCAGGCCAAAGCCGGCCATGTCGACGGAGTGCAGAGAACCCGGGCCACCACGGCCCAGAGAGATATCTGAGGAAGCATAGTCATGCTTCAGCCGTTCATGAGGTCCAAAGAACGGTCGGGTCTCTTCGTTGGGGGTGTTACCATCACCCGCTGCCCAAGGCCCATGCTGCCAGAACCTTGTGTTGGCTTGTTGGTCCCCGAAGAGGTCATGGTGGTCGTGGTGGGTCTCGGTCCCGTGGTTGGTAAAATCATTGGGTGACTGGAACCGCAGATGCGACCGACTGAAACTCGAGCATGGAGAATCGGCATGCAGCGGGAAATCGAGGTTGGGGAATGGCATGTCCTCGACGGTGGTGATATCGATGGTCGGGTTCTCGGTCTGCTGTGCCAGCGCTGACGCTAGCCGGAGGTTGGAGGCGGAGCTTTGGCGACTGTGACTAGCCGACCGTTCGATGGCTCGCTGAACGAAACTGCCACACGTCTTCAGAATCTTTTCCTGATCCTCTGGGGAGAGACTGGCAAAGTAGTCGTTTGCCAAAGAGGGCTTGGGCAGTTCAGGTTGACAGGGAGTCAGGCCAAAGGTCTTCTGAGCATACTCCGTAAACCCAGAGGGCATGTCGTATGGGGACTGGTAGACGGTCGGAACCTGCTCCCGTTGCTGCTCAAGGTAGGCATACTTGCGAGGCAACTTAGTGGCGGCCAGGCTACCTCCGTTGGCGGCCTCTTGCTTGATGTTTTCCGACTCCTTTTTCTGCAGCACGTCCAGCCGATCCCGATGACTCACCAGCGAGAAGCGGAGCATTTGTAACAACCGTGTCACCTCCTCGGACCGCATGTTGAGGGGTTGCAGCGGCAACAGTGTTCCATCCGGTGCCCGAGGCTGCACTCGCTGCTGAGCCATGGCCAGTTCCAATTTCTCCAACCCGGTCGGCGGTGGTACCGAGCCCATTGGGCCCAGGAGGGTCTCTACGACCAACTCCGGGCTGACAATGGTATACCCGGCGAAGACATTGGCATGGTCGGTGATCTGGGCCAAGCGACGACGGGCAATGAGCTCTCTGACATTGGCGAAATTATTGGGCGGGAGGTTATTGGGGGTCTGCTGCTGCTGCTGTTGATGGTGAAGGTGATTATGAAGTTGCTGCGGACGGGAAAGGGATTGATGATGGTGAGATTTGGTGACCTGAGGATACGGAGCATGGCGGGCTGATTGAGTTGGCAAGGATCGGTAAGCAGACGGCATCGCAGCAGGGGAGGAGGCAGTGGGAGGCGCAGGACGAGGAGGGGCAAGAGGAGCGTGCTGCAACAGGGAAGGGCGGCGGGATGCGGCAGCAGCAGCAGCAGCAGCGGCGGCGGCGGAGGTGGTGGTCGTGGTGGTCGTGGCAGCAGCAGTAGTGGCGGCAGCGGCAGCAGAGGCGGTCAAGGGAGACAGGAGATGAGGGTGAGGGGCACCAACACCAGCACCAGCATAATGATGAGGCGGAGCGAGATGGTGGGGGTAGGAGGAGGGGAGTCGGGCCATCACGGCGCCGAGCGACTTGACGCTGTCCAGGAAATTCGCGCGCGGGTTGTGGATAGGCACGCTAGGGCTGTGCGTATACTGTGCCCTACACTCGGTGGAGGATTCGCCCAGGTAATACCAGATCTGTTCGCTCTTGCTGAGGTCGACCTGCGTGGATGGTGGGGCGGACTGGTGGTTAGGGTGATTAGTGCTGTCCACCGTCTCGAACTCGGCCCACTGATACGGAGATCGCCCATCGCCAAATGGATTGCCTGCCACCGGCACTGCCGATTCCAACTCCTTCCGCGCCTCGGGTTTGCGGGCCAAGTGGGCTGGTAATGGCCTGGTACCTGGAGCCAGCGGTGAGAAGTTGCTCCTGCGAACAACCAGCATCCACCGGTACGGTAACTCAATTACGTCCCTGCACATCGAATGGTTAGCCCCTGCGATATCATCCTTGCCCGATCGGGTAACATCCAAACAAATGGAGGCCCGCGGGGCTCTTCATGCAGCCTCTTCGTGGGGCACCAAAGAAAACTTACCCTCGTGGCAGCACCTTGACCAGTAACGTGCGTTCCTCCGGTCGGTTCTGAAGCACAATCGCACCGTTAATTTCCTTGTCCGCTTGGAACTGCACCAGATCCCCAGCCACCAAGCCCCGTGCCGTCTGGATGAGCTTGCGGTCATAGTCGGGGGATTCGCCGCTAGCCATCCAGGACGGCTTCTTCTGGCGATGGTACTTGCACTTGAGGTCCACGCTGGGGATCGAGTACTGGTTCCCATCGTCCGCAATCACGGCGATCTGACCCTGCTCCACCTGCACACCCGCCAAAAGTGCACAGGTGGCGTGGTATGACCGTGTACACTTGCCAAAGTTGCACTGGAAGCATGCCCCGCGCACTTCACGACAGAAGAGACACTTGAGACCCATGCGGGCCTTGGGGATCTTATCCACGTCACACACCACCTCCTTGCCAGACTCATCGCGGAGGATGGAGGTCTCTTCCGTGTACAAGGCACAGCGACGGTGGGCATGGGACTTGCCATCTTCGGTCGGCAACAGGTCCTCATAATCCAGATTGTTGGGACACAAGACACATGGGATCTTTCTGGGAACATCCATGGCGACCCGCATGCGTTTCGCCTTGGTGGTTTCACCATCATTCTTGCGCTTCCGCCCACGCGTAGATGTCTTTTCGGGAACACTGCGGGGAGGCGTCAATAGATCCGACGCACCTTCGATCTCGTCGAGATCACTTTCGTATTCGCCGAAATACTCCGGAGTAGCTTCGCCCCGAAGCTTCCGTTCGATCTCGTCAACATCGATCCAGACACTATCGGCCTCACAGTTGCACTTCTTGGCCACCCGGCCATAATCGAGCCACTTCTCTGTTGCGAAGTTGACCGACTCGGCGCAGTTGTACCCCAAATTGTAACCGGAATGATATCCGTAAGGGTAGGTGATGACGAACTCGCCCTCGTAGTGCACTAACTTGTTCACTGTAATGCCGTACTGGGACTTGAGAAGATTCGGCGAAACAAGGTAGGTCTTGTGGCGGAGGAATTGGTCGCAATTTTTAGCGTCACTTTGCCAGATACCTATCAAGTCAACATTAGCGTCACGGCCTACCCGACATCTGACTTCGGGATGGAGCCTTACTCTTCATGGCTTGTTCAAAGCGAGGAGCATCTTCTTGAGAGATGCTGTACCACTGCTTGGGAGCACCGAAGTGGATATAGTTGATACTGTAGAGATCCACATCCTCCAGGTGCCATGCGAAAGTAGCTTTCCACATTCCCAGATAAAGGTACGCCGTGTTGACACCAGGCACCTTCTGTCCCAAGACATCCAGCAGATTGGGTAATCGGGCGACATTCCATGAAGTCGTGATGTTATCATCGAAGAGAGATCCCGGCATATCGGCACCGTACATAGGGTTGTTGAACATCAGGGACTTCCAGTAGTTGGTCTCCAGCTCTTCGCATCTTTCGTAGGTGTAATCCTGGCTATCATCGATGCGGTAATCAAAGTCCTGGAAGGCTTCTTCGTCCACATAATCGATTGCATCGCCCTTGTTGTGCTTTCTGCGAGATGTGACAGACTTGGGTTGTCGTCCTTTGGGCTTCGGGCCGGGCAAGGATTCGCCGTCGCTCAGTTCCTCGTTTTTCGCCTCGACAGGGTTCGATTCGGGAGACACGGGTGTTGGCGGGCCTTCCGGCTTGATCTTATCCAGGCCCTCATCGGCTGGCGGTTCTTCCTTGACCTTCACCTGGTTAGCCCGTTTCGGCGGGCGACCAGGACCTGCACGACGTTTCTGAGAGTCCGATCGAGCGGTCTGGGTTTTGGGAGCAGAAGGAGCCCGGGTCACTCGGTCCTGATTCCGGCGCCGTTCACCTCTCCGCGCAGGTGGCTGGTGACTGCTTTCTTCACACAATGCTTTCCACTGGGGTAGATTGTATGATCTTTGTCTCTCGATGTTCGCTTGTGTGTATGTTCCGTGCGAGCCATGGAATTCCTGCATGATCGGGTTCTTCACACGGATCTTCTTAACGGCTTCATCAAGGGGCGGTAGGGAATCAGTCCTAAAGTTGGTCACATCTGTTAGCGTCCTGCCATGAGTGTTTGTCCGCACAAGCGCCAAGCCATACCATTCTTTAGGAGGAATAACTTTGATGATTCCGGAGCGCATGCCATACTCCTCGACCTTGTTGATGAACGATTGGAAGTCGCGGAACTGATCCATAGTCTATTGAGAATGCCCATTAGCCCACACCCTGGCCAGGATGGGTAATATGGTGGAGGACTCACCGGCTTGAACACCGGAATCTTGCCGCCGCCATAGTAATGGTCCGGCTCAATCTCCTCATCATCCGCCTCTACCGATGGTATCTCCTGGGCGCCGTTGACATGGGGATCGAGCTCGAGATCGGAGAGCTCTGACGGAACTCCATCGGGAACCTCTTTCTTGCCGTTCACGCTCTGGGGAGGAGTGATTGAGGCTGCATCGGTCGCCGGAGCGCCGGCGATCGGGTCGAAAAGGGGTTGATCAAGCGCTGCCGCCATCATCTCAAGATGGGAAGAACGAAGGGTGAAATTGGTCGGGAAGTCGATAAGGATGCCGTCGTCGGAATATGCGACCGCTGATCGACGGCAGGAGAGGGAATCCCAGCGGTCGGGGGAGAGGACGTTAAGAGTTCGGAAAGGACTTGTGCTGTAGATCGGTCAATATGGCGCAGGAACCTTCTTGGTAGCTCTTGTCGCAGTTTGAAATTCCGACGAGGTAAAAGAGGGAAAGAAAATAGAATAGAATAAAACAAAAAGGATTATTAAGGCTGGCGAAACGGAACTGGGTATTGGGGGTACAAGATAAGAGAGGTAGTAGTAGTAGTAGCAGTGGTGGTAGTAGTAGTAGTAGTAGTGATGACGAAGGAAGAAAGGGTTGGTGGACTGCAAGGCTGGATGATCCGAGCTCCCAGAGACGAATTGCTAGGTATAGGGATCATGCGAAGCAGCAGCGCAGAAAAACACCAGCAGGGAAAGCGATAAAAGATAGGGACCGGGGTGGAACGGGTGGGTGGAAGTAAAATTAGCAAGTGGATGATGAGATCGGTATCAGCAGCGCAGTATCACCACACAGCATTGGTAGAGAGAGCGCAAGTCAGGTCAAGCAAGCCCCTCCTCCGGTTTGAGGGCAACGGAGCGAGAAGATTTGCCGTGTGGTGCAGGACCAAGCAGCAAAAGGGATGCTCGTTCGCCAACGAGTGCAGGGCCGATGGGGAACGTTGGACGCTAGCAGCAAAAGCAGGAAGCAAGAAGAAAGCAGGGGGAAATAGCAGAAGAGGGAAAGGGAAGGCGGAAGAGCCAATCCCAGCAATCCAGCGTCACGTCGGACGGTCCAAGCTGTGGATCCGGGCCAGAGCGACGATGGCCTGACTGACTGACTTTCTTGGGAAATAAGGAAGAAGGGGAAATGAGGGTGTGGAAATGCAACAGATTGGTAGAAAGTGATGGGAAAAATTCAATGATGATGAAGATGATTACTGCTGTCGTCTGCACTGACTGCACTGAACCAGTCTAGTAGCAGTGAAAAAAAGCAGTAAGAGCAACAAAGTAACAGAGCAGTAACAGCAGAAGTAACCAGCAAGTAACAGCAGCAACCAACCAACCAACCTGCAGCCTGAGCGCCTGAAAATTGAACTGCTTAAGGCACCAACTCCGCGGCGCGATACTCAGTCGAGTCAAGGCACGTAATTTGGTTCCGGCCGCGAGCAGATCTCAGCACGTCTCCGGTGTCGGGAAATGCAGGCAGACAGGCAGGCAGGCAGGCAAAGACAGCTAGACACCAGATTTGAAACAAACCAAGTACAGAGATAATAGTATGAGGTAAATTAAGATACTCACTTTATACAAGATATGCCCGAGAAAAGTGAAAGTAAAAAAATAAAAAAGAATGAGCTTTCTCTCCCCGTCAATAGATTATGGGAGAGATGATTATCTAGTAGTAGCCTTACTCGTCGTATCGTAGTAGTAGTTTCTTTCTTCTATGTGTAACACTTCAACAACAACTTCTGGGAATTGTCCGAGCGAACTCTCAGAGTTGCCGCCAGGAAGAATCACGTGCAGCACATGACTGGCCGGGATCAGACACAAAGCAACCAGTGCCCATTACGGTTAGCGTCATACCGGGGGGCAAAAAAAAAAGAAAAATAGGTGTGTGTGTGTGTGTGTGTGTGTGTGTGCGTGTTTGGGGAGAAACAGTTACTGTGGGACGCAGAATACACCACGCGGTAGACATCAGCACGCTGTAGGCTGTGCAGAAACGAAAAACGACTGGGCCTAATTCTTGCATTTTTGGCGAAATTCGGATAGCGGCGGACCCGGCAGAGATTCCCTGGAAGCAGAAAACAACTGCATATAGTGCATACTTTTTTACTTCCTTACTTACGCCTAGTACTGCAGTAGCTTAGTGTTAACTAAACCAACTTAGTTCGACCATTTGATCTTCACTAACAGGAAGGGGTCTGATCGGTATGATCTCACCAGCCGAGTGTATCATTGGATGGTTATTTAGCCGGTGGTAAAGGCGGCTTTTTGATTTATTACTGAATAATAAGAACTAGACTAGAGGGTATGTCTTTGTTATGGGAAGTTTAATTAGGATAGACGAAGATTAGACGGGATATGTTACCGGGGGGAATGAATTTATCAGCTAACTAGGCAGGTAACACACACACACAAGCTGTTTCTTAATTTCTTAATGCAATAATAAACCATGTACCTACATTAAACCAAAGATCACATGTTACATATAGACTACATAGTATGATTTTATCTAGCCTCGTAAAGCAATATAACCAAACTCAAACCTAAATAGCAGTAGTAGTGGTAGCCCAACACCGAAATAATATTATCAACAACACTCGTATCTACTATACACCACCACCATCACCATCACCATCATCACCACTGATGCCACCGCAACACCAGTCACATACGAAAAAGGAATAAATCTTTCCTTTCCGACCGACATACATATATACATACATACACGTACATATATACACATGCATATGCACGACAAGCTACCTTGGCTGTACTCTGTAGCACACTACTTAGACGGTATGAGTAGTATGTAGTCAATACCCCCAACGCCAACCCGAATCCTACAACTATTTTACCAGTACACAGACCCAACTCCAACATCTTCACTCTTCCCATAACAATCATATGCAGAGATACTACTACTACCTTAGACACACTTATCACCAAAAACCGATAGGCTACCTACTCCAACCTCAAACACAGACCTCCCCAATAACCCACTAGCCCAATGCAAGTCCACTACTAGTGAATACTATGTATGTATGCAGCATGCAATATGCAAGACAGCGTTGGGCACAAATCTACTACGGGAGTACTTACTTACTTACCTACTACCTTAGCCGGTGGCGTGAACAACCACCACCACCACCACCACCACCACCACCACCCTTACTACCTAACAACACTGGCAGATTCACCCAACCTTCGTGATTGGCTCCCCAGCTAAATTGTTCGTAATCGGGAGGGTCAGTTGGCACCCATCCATCCATTATCACATACAAATAGAGATAATCAAATTGAATTGATTAGTTGTTCTACACATCTTTCTTTTCTTCTTTTGTCGATTTGCGTGTTGGGGAAAAAAAAAAAAAAAAAAAAAAAAAAAAAAAAAAAAAAAAAAAAAAAAGAGAGAGACTGGAGATCCCCGTTATGGCCTGAATGCAGTTGTACTACGTGTCTCATTGTCTTCAGTGGCATGATTCTAGTTTCAACCTAGCGAGATTAAAGGTTGTTACCGGGCCGGTTCTGATGGAGACAATCGAGATCGTGCAAGCTGATTAATTACATTTTATCACTAATAATCAGTCGATAACCAGTTAACGCACAGAAGGATTAAGTAAGTAGGTTACTAGTTTGTAGTTAGTTACTATGCACCGTGATATGAAAATTCAACCTTCGCGCGCGCGCGTGGCGTGGTCTGCGTCGGCAAGCGGCGTGCGGAACGGATGTACGGAGTACTGTAAGTAGGACAGACAGCTGTTTCATCGCCATCTGGTTGTGGATGCGGTGTATGGCACCCAAGGTTTATGCATCTCATCCAAAAGAGATGGTGGGGAAATTTCAACGCTGCAAATCATCTATCGCATTGGTATCAATCACGTTGTATATACGCCGAACACCCATCATGGCTAAATCAGGAGCAATGAGTGACGGGAAAATAAGAAACTGATCACAATGCATGGACCTTAGTAGACCACGCCAGCTCATCTCACACCCACACCCAGACAGCTTCAATAATCATTCAGCCGCAACTTCTTCCCGACAAACCGACGTTTCTCGGGCTTCTCGGTGCCCCGCTCCCGGTCTGCATTCAGCCCCTTGAGCGCGTGGAGCAGCATCCCTGCATCAAAGAACCCATCTGATTCGGTGGTCAGTAGCTGTGTCGTTAAACGCAAGGGAACACACATCCAGAGGTGCACTTACATCCGCCCATGCCATCGTCCTCCAGTTCTCCGCTGTCCGTCGTGGGTGTCTCGGCACCCCGATGCAGCTGGCCCGGATCCCCCCGGACGATCCGGCCCCGGCGGTGATCGCCCTGGAGCCGCTCGGCAATCATCTCCATCTCGCGTGCTCTGCTCGTGCGCGGGCTGGCAGGCCGGTGGTTGACCGTGCGCAGCAGCTTCCGGATCTCCATCAGGTACGATTCGAGCGTGTACATGAGACGCGCAGTCTGTCGATGTTTAGACGAGGCGCAGAACGAGATTGAATCATCCTTGATTATGTAGCCAATGCCGAAGCCATCCGCAGACGTGGGCCCGAAGCCAAAGTGTCGTAGGCATGGATTTCCACAGTTGGAGGTCGACAGCACGGTGGTGTTGATCTTATCCCAGCCAGCGTCGCTGAAGATTGCGGGCATGGTGCGCATCCCACGTACACTGTAGCCATTGGAAGACAGTCCATCTTCCGATAACGATGTAGAAGATTTGGGCGATTCAATGGACGCGGTCTCCACAGGGCTGGTGTACCCGTTGGAGCTGCTGATGACGCTGTTGTTCGCGGATGACGCGCCGTCATCAAAGGACCGTTGCCACAGGCAGTACAGCGCATAAAGATGTCTATCTTGTCCCTGCCCCTTCGAGCAGTCCTTCGTGATGGCGGTATGCTTCTCGGTCGCTTTTCGGAGCGCGCTCACCTTTTGCTCCGCCGGGTTGTCTCCCCAGAACGTCTTGATAAAGTCGACGCATTCGTTAGTCACCGTCCGAATTGCTTCGGTTCGACCGTGTAGGAAAACTTTGGTCATGGCAGGTTCGTAGGTGTTCTCCATGCGGCCGTAGAGTCCGTAGTAGGCTGCTTGGAAGGCCATCTGAACAAATGCATCCGGGGAGAAGCCCGTGGAAGTGATGAAATTCTTGCCATATCCCTTGAAGTCGAGCACCTGGAACTCATGTTGCTGCAAGAGATCGGAGAGGTGGGACTCGGCGAATCGCAGAGCAATGCTGAGCTCAGGCGCCATATCCCACTCGAGCTTGCGGGGTGTTGTGCTGACATTGCCGAAGCTTCGAGGGTCGCGTTTCGCAGGATCAGGGCTGGAGGTCGCCCAGAGGGTCGGTGCCTGGCCGTTGATCGTCCGAGCAAAGCGGAGTATGGTGTCCGTATAGACGTCGCTGGCAAACCGGAGTACGGTATGGCCATCTACGCCAGTATGTTCGAAGTTGATGCCTGCACTGCCGTTCTTACACACAATGATCTGGAGTTTGTCATACCACCGGTTGGTACAAGTCCCCACCTGCACACCTCGGACCACTTCGCTCGTTCCGCAGAGCATATTGGCGCAAAGCTCCGACGTGTTGTGTGGTTCAGTGTAGTCCAGGCACAGAACGAACAGAGCCGTGTCCACGATATTGAGACATTCTGCGTTGTTCGACCCTTCATCCTTGGTGAGGATATCTCTCAATCCGGACCAAACCTTGCGGTTCTCGGTGCTCAACACACCAAGCGCTCCCTTCGCCGCATCATGAATAGGTGTCTGTTCTGCATCTCCAATGATGACCTGGAGGTTAACCGCAATATCCTTTTCGTTCATGATCAGGTCACTGTTGTCGTCCAGCACATCGAACCAATAGATTTGACCCCGACACAAGACAACAATATGTTTCGCATGGGGATCCTGGCTTATCACGCATCCATTGTCGGTCGGGACACGCGCTGTTCCGAATAGGCGAGAGTATTGATACATGCAAAGAGGCGTACCCCGGACAGTGTCGGGAGGGAGTTCCTCCCGCCTCACGGCACGGACAAACGACAAGGCAGAGACAACAAGTGAAGCTGCTCTCGTAACCTGGTTGTTCCTCGCAGGGGTCGGGTCATCTTCCAGCAGGAAGAATGGGTTCAAGTTCAGCACAACAGCTTCACACAGCAAATCAGTACAGTAGTCCCCACGTTTCATGCACATTGTCACTTACGGCTGTCGTAGTTCAAATAAGAGTCGTACCCTGCAATAAGCAGATTGAGTCAGCCTAAGATGACGTAAAAAGGCATGGGGATAAGTTCAATGTCTGATGACATACAGAATTGTTCGATATAGCTTGTTTTTGACGAGGCATAGGTCTTGAGCTTCTCTTGCAGAATAGGGCCTTCTGATTTGAGAAAGTCCTGCACAGCTGCCTTGGTTTCCTCCTGCTCTCGGAGTGTCTGTAGCGGGGCTAATGACTCAAGGTATCGCTTGCATGTTTGCTCCAGGTCTGGAATTGGTAATTTGGGTAACGAATCCTGGTTCGCAAAGGTCAAGCCCTTCTTTGGTGGCTCTGATGTTCCTCCATTCACTGACGTAGGGACCGAAGACGGCTTGATCTTGGTCTCCGGAGTTGAGTTCGAACGAAGAGAATCCATTGCGCTTCCTAGAGACTTAGGGGCCGTGAAGTGGCGAACTGCTACGGACGAGTAGGACATGGTGTCAGCACAATGCAGTCCGTCCTGGAGACGTATGATGGAATCTATGGAAAAGACAAATGGATAATATAGGGATTGACGGGGGAGGCAAGATGTTGTGATAGATATTATGATAAATTGGCAGGGTAGTATTAGGGCGCTGAAGGATTATCTCATGACCACGGCTCACGTCACGAGGAAGATGTGATCATGGAGGGTGAAGGGCATGAGATCGAGAAAAACATATGGAAGACTAGTGCAGCGAGAATGGTATCATATATAGGTAAAGGCCACTTAGGGGGAAACAATTCATCATTTCGCAATGATACCCGGGGAGCAACTGCTGGCCGTGGGGTGGAACCCAAAGGTACCTTCGGAATAAAGGGAGTTAGACGGAGGAAGGGACACTTACAGCTTAGCTGCCAACACTAGGAAAACGACCAGGCTACGCCTAGATGAAAGGCTCGAACCACAGTGGACCAGCTCGCCGGGCCTAACCGTCCGCAGCTGCGCCTAAGGCAAGCAGGTAGACGGGATATCGGGGGAACGGATGATGTCTGGTTAGAGGGGCAGAGGGAAGTATATCCAGCTGGTCTGCCAAGAGATATGCGCGATAGGCCCGGTGGGCCGTACAAGGTGGAGGCGAGAGAGCTCTAGTGCACGAACGCACTGCTGTAGCTACCTAAGCATTCAAGGATCAATATAAGTACCTATCGACACCTCGAGGAGAAAGAAGTTGAGAATTGAGAAGAGAAGGTCAGGAATGTGCGGAGAGCCCCATCCGGTGCTGAGCGTTGTTCCTGTGGCAGTACCAAAGAGAGGATGAGATGGGAACTGCGGGGGGGGGAGGCCGATCATGTGAAGCCGAGAATCCCAGGCAGAAAGAGAGAGAAGGCAGTAGGAACAACTGCTGGAAAGACTACTAGCACTATAGCACTAAGTAGTACTAGAGACACGTACTCGGGATTGGAAGGGCACAGCCAATAGAGAAGCACTACCCTGCTGAAATTAGGTGAAGTGGTACAGACGGGTCAACTGCAGTGACCGCATTAGACAGTAGTTTAATGAGAGATGGAAGGGCCCTAACGAGAGGAATCCTGGTCAATAGGCGCCTGGAAACAACTAGGACAAGAATTGGAACATGTGGCGATAATCCTGGACGAGAGCAGACCAATTGGTGACGTTTTCGGACGAAGGGAGACTGTTGGAAAGTCTGGTTGCGGGGAGGAGAAGCTGCCAGATTCTCTCTTCCAAACTAGTCGGTTCCTCCTCCCCCCCCCAAAAGAGGCAATCACCTGGGCTTATTCAGACGGCAGAAAAAATGACACCGCAGGCTGCAGTCACGTGGGTGGGGCGGGACAGCCGCGCTGACCAGATAAGAAGATATATAGTAGAGATAGATAGAGATAGTGATAGAGGGACACAGGACTACCCGTTGACCATTCTTACTACCTACACTAGTTATAGTACTTGACTTACTTACTTCTCTTCTCTCCACACACAATCATGGCCGGGTGTCATGGAAAAAGGTCTCATCATTTTGGCTTTTGTCATCCCGAAGCAAGTACCGATTCTAAATCAGGGGCGCCCCATATCCACACACCCGCTTTGCAATATATCCGAATCATAATCACACAAGAAATGAAGATCATCTAGTCTAAGGCCAACGAGTCATATTGTCTCATTGAGACCAAACCAAAAGAAAAGAAAAGAAAAAGCAACAAATGAATATTCACAGGTGAAGAGAAGCAGAAAAAAAGGCAAGTCACGCCGTGCACCTGCTCCAGCCCACGGGCTCCGAGGTCGGGTGGATCCTGTTTCGGTTCTTCGGGCAAGCGGTAGGGTAGATCTTCCCCAGATGGAACCTCCGTCAGAGCGTCTTGGCGATCCGGGCCTGAAACAAGCGCAGGGCATGTCTCGGACGAAGACAATCTTATTATCAAAATCAAATAGACAGTGCGAAGGCGAAATGAGATTTAAATATCAAAAAAAAGGACTGATGATCGTCAGATTCTCCATCGTTCGATGTTCGCACATGGCCGGTGGCCAGAGAATCGCCCTTGCACCAGACAGGTCAGGGACAGGTGTTTTACTTCCATCACAGGCAGCTCCAACCCAACGCATCGATATCCCCAACGCCCGTCATGGCAACGCTGACCGTTTTACCCGCCAGGTGCAGGGAAACCGACTATTCTTTGACAAGGTGCAAGAGCGACGGTCTCCAGGCACAGTCACGCGAAATCATCTCTCGCCATCTAGGAGGCAACGTAAACAGCATGGCCGAGAGGGCGCTTGACGTTGGTGCCATATTCTCCCTCATAGTTTCCTGAAAATCAAGCCTGTCAGCAATCTCTTATCGAAGATTAGGGAGGGATACGGGTATACTAACCGGCAGGGCTGTAGTTGCAGACAGTGAAGGGCAGGGCCTCGGAGGCATCAACGTTACCCAGGGTGTCGCAGGTGACAGTAGCGCAACCAACGTGGGTGGTGGCAGCCCAGACAATCTGGGAGAAGTGGCCCCAGTTGTCGAAGTAGGTCATGTCAGGGTCGGCCTCGCCGTACAGGTCGGTGTAGTAGCCCATCTCGTCGTTGTACATGAGGTTGGTGATCATGACGCCAATGTCGGAAGCTTCAACACCATATCCAATGTTCTGGCCGTAGCCACCGCCATCAATGGAACTGCAGATTCACGTTAGCGCAAGTAACAAGAATTATCTGATGTGCATGATCTATCTACTTACGTGTCGTGCTCATAGACACACTTGGCGGCCAGGGCGTAGGCGCTCGTCTCCAAGTCAGAAGACCACTCGACGGAACTAGCGGAGTGGTTGCTGCGGTGGATGTTGTGGTTGTACAAGACCGCGGACTGGTAAGCGCTGGTGGCGGTCGAGCTAGCGCTGGACGAGGTCGAGGTCGCAAGGGTGGTGGACGGCGCGACAGTCGAAGACCAGGACGAAGTCCAAGCGGAAGTCCAGGCGGAGGTCCAGGAAGTAGCAACCTCCTCAGCAGCGGAAGTGGCGACAGCAGCAGCAGTGGTCGCGGCGGCGGTGGTCTCCACAACAGAAGTGACAACAGACGAAGTGCTGGCCTCAGCAGCAGCGGCGGCGGCGGCAGCGGCGGAGGAAGAGGCCTCAGCAGAGGCGGAGGCGGCAGCAGCAGCAGCGGCAGCGGCAGAGCTGGACGATTCGGCGGCAGCGGCAGCGGCAGCAGCGCTGGAGGAGGAAGCAGCGGCAGTGGCCTCTTGCGCGGCAACGTTCTCATAGACCGTGGGAGTAGGGTACTCGGTGATGGTGGTGGTCAATGTGACAATGGTCCAGTCGGTCACATAAGAACGCTTGTCAACGTTGTTGGCCAAGGCACCAGCGGCGCAAAGGGCACCCAGAGCGAGAGAGTAGCGCATGATTGAATGAGGGTTGTTGTTGGTATTGTCTTTGCCAAGAGTCGATAGGATGATTTAGTACAGTTCAACTGTGTCCGATTGAGATCGACTTCTCCGGGAAGTTATGCGGCCAAGAGATCAACAGGCACGAAACAGTGTATGACAGATAAGAGTTGATAGGGTTTTTCTGGCGATATATGCAGATCGACTGCGAAGTGGTTGGGTTGGTAAGACCGAAGGGGGGTTTGGTGGGTGTATATGTACGAATAACCAGCACGTATGGACAAAAGAATGACAGCCTTCAGGGAGAGGAAACACTTTTTTTTTGAAGGAGTGGAAAAAAAGTGCACCAAAAATTGAAGGCGAAAGGGTGAGATGAAGGTTGGAAGGGAACGGTGGGAAGGGCCAACGGTAAAGAACGAAGGGCAACAGTGAAGGAGCCGAGTGGGCGTGAAGTGATAATATAGTCTGGAGCGAGCAACTGGAGTTGGGGCGGCAACTTAATCACGGAAAGGAGAGCGACTCCAGCGGGCGGCGTGTACCCGGTGGGGTCGGCGATCTCTGATAATTAAACGCAAATTAATTCAGACGGGGGGAGCTTCATATACGAGTGGGTTCTGGACGGATCTCGACGTCGCGATGGGTCATGGATGGGGGCCTGTCCCGAGTGAGCAGACAGGCGAGCATCCTTTGACCAGCCAAATTTCTTTCAGAACACAGACAGGAACAAGAGAAAGATTCAATGGCTCATTCAAAGCGCCATGCGGTCCCAGCGCATTAATATCGGTTCAGCTCGCGTGTACACCGGCCTAGTTCCACGGAATGCCGTGCCTTGGTGCTTGTGTCCATTGTTTTTCCCCTGAGTAACTACGTACGTATGTCCCAACCACGAGCACGTACCCGGAGTTTTCTTTGGGAAGGGAGGGATACACAGTAGGGAATTTTTGTGGAAGAATAGCAAAGAAGATCGTCTACGATAAACTGACCGGCCAGTCAGTCCCTTTGGTTGATGATACATTCCCGCCCATGGCGTTTCGGACAAGGAATCTTCCAGGGCCAGGGTCTCTGACCTCCACGTCCCTGAGACCTGAGACGATGTTGGATCCAGAAAGAGTAGCAGACGCGGGAGAGAGATACAGAGAGGATACAGAGTGCAGCCCATAAGGCGGCCTGACATCGCGCCTCACGGTTACCGGCAAATCGATAAAATTACGGAGTATTTACGGTACGAACTATCCAGTGACGAGGTGTTTTTCTGTCGGCATTATTATTTTGCCCCTGGAAAAGTTGGGGACCCAAAGGAAAAAAGAGGGCATATTTTGCAGGGATTGGATTGTCCAACCGTCGAACAAAATTCCCGTGCCCCTGGCTCGCCACTAAGCTACTCTGGGTCAAGGCGCATGCCGCCCGTTTCAGGAACGGGCGCTTCTAAGCCAATCAACGCTCCGTTCCAGGTTGATACGCTGACGGTGGGTCTCTCACGGTCGCAATGGATTAACAGCCCACCACCCATCCTTGGGTCTTCTTCCAATTCCACGCTGGCTAGTTAGTCTACGGCAATCTGCTGGTGGAAGCAACACATTCAAGTAAGTCTCCTCTCGTTGTTGGTCTATCCCAAAAGTCCAGACCAATGCCTGTCAATGGATCCCAAGGTGGTCATCACTCTTCACTCTCTGCAAAGACGGTTAAAATTCGTCATGCCCAAGAAATACCAAGACTAAGAAATGAGCACCTGTGAAGCTCCGAGGGGAAAACTCTCCGATGTCAATGTAAGATAATCTATTCGATATTATTAGACTCAATAGTATGAGCGGAGAGCAATGACGAACAGGCATCATCCTCATTAAGTCATTATACTGGCCCTCCCCTCTCCTCTCTTCTCTCCAATAAGTCTCTCATAGTCAGCCAACTTAACTGATCAATCCCCCAGTCCACCGCAAATTTGGGGGTCGGAATAGAACACCGCCCATTCGAGTAATTCCCAGGGGTAAACGTGCAGGGTCGCTAACTGTGATTAACCACCAAAACTTGGCAACTGACTGACCCACTCACAGCCAGGATGGCGCTCGCTAACGTTTCACTTGTGGCCTTCCCATCATCTTTCGGAGATTGGGTACCTGAAGCTAGTCTAGTAAGTAGTCTAGTGGCCCGGCTCCAGCTTCTCTCTCTCTCTCTCTGTGCCTCGCAGCTCGATACGGTGTAATATCTAAACCTTTTTCCCGAGGCCTGTTGCCCCAGGACCACTGCTTGACACTCGGTCGTGGAGATTCCCGTCACACAGTTAAGAGGGTGATGTGTCGAAGTTCTAGAACCATGGATTTGCCGTGCCTAGGATGGAGTCCATCTATCTAACAGACGGCTTTTCCTCCTTAGTCTAGATGAACCCATTCGGTGGGAATTGCGCCATTACTGGCCATTCTTTGGTACAAACGCCCATGACACTTGTAGAGCTTCAGAGAGAAACGAGAGCGGAGAGGTTCGCCAGAGGTGGGAAGGGGGGATAAAGTCTCTTTGCTTTTACACACAAGCCCCCTCTTCGGTTCCATGGTTCCCAACGGATAAAGACACCTCAATCACAATCAGATTTATCATCGGCTTTGAACTACCCCATACATCAAGCGAATCATTGTCATTGCTTTCAAGTAAATCCTTCTTTGCCACTGCATGCGGATCCTTGGATACTACCTTCCTTCTAGAAGAGAAAAAAAATTTCGACAGGTCGTAAGCAACAACTCTGGCCATGGATACACACCCTACGTCTTTCATGGTTGACATACTGAGATATTATTCTTCTGCCTAATCTCGCACGGATACACACATACACGTGTGCATTTCCAAAGAATAAGAAGATAACAAGCTGAGTTATTTCCAAAGCACCATAATGAATTAACGAATCCCCCTGTCATCCATCCAATCCCATCGATTGGATACACCGGCTACTTGCGCGTTTAGCATTGAGCTTAACGGAAGTGTGGACAGTTTCGACACATAACATCACAAAAATTAACTTCATCGACAATCCACATGACATCTGACTAGCTTACGTTGCACCACATACACATACACACATCCTACAACTTAATGAGGAAGAGCTTAGCGACCAAAACTTCAAGTCCGAGCCAGCATCCAATTCTCTGCATTGGATGGAACTGACCCAACCCTCGGATGCATGTCCACCTTTGGGCGGGATTTTTAAGCGGAGCATCCCGGCACCAAACTTCGGCTCCGAGTGCCGCGCGCGCCCCTCTTTGGCAATTGTCCCATACACAGATATCAGGTGGGATTGTAGACAAACAGGAGTCTAGATTCTAGTGTTATATCTGATAGAATATTCAATGTGGTAATGAGATTATTACTCTACTGTCGTTTACAGGTCCGAATGTAGACAGTAAGTATATCACTTACTCATTATATATTTCTGTGATAACATTTTACCTCTACTTGATTTGGAACAACTTCATATACCACAATGACATCCACCTATACACTCCTGTTAACCATGACTCTTCTAGTACCACCTAGTGCACGAGAAGGCATAACATACTACCCTTACAATGTACATATGAGCTTTTGACAGCAGTACTAGTAGTCTCGAACTATAGCCCCGAACTCGACCCGAACTTCAACCCATACTACTACTAGTAGTAAGGTACGTAGTAGAAACCGCCATAATCACTCAATCAATCAACCCAAGCGGATGTATATTACTCCTCCCGACAAGATACTAGACAGATCACAGATCACAGCACCTACTTACTGTACTCCCAGTTTCATCCCCAACCAATCAAACCACATGGCATCCCTCCAACCCTCAGCAGGCAACCAGCCAACGAGCCCTGAATCTCGATCTCAACTGACGAGTCCAGATCCTCATCTAACTGACACCCAAGCGGAAGAAAGAAAAGTTAAAAAAAAAAGAACGCACCCCAGCAATGACGTAGCTATGGTTGAAACAGCCGATGAAACTGAAACTCTAGACCCCAAAACAAAGAATTGGAAACAATTGCACATAACTTTGTACCCCTCCCTCATACCCAATTTTGTGTCACCCCCTCTTTGTGAGTAGTAAGCAAAGCAACCCAATGAAACAAACATATCGGCTGCTGCGTGACTGATGCGGTGGAACGATGCTCAAGCGTATCGCTTATGAGGTTTTGACTGGGTTATTTGCATTGAGGCTGGGACTGGACTACCGCTACTGCTAGTTACTAACCCTGTGTTTGTCATACGCAAACTGGGTGGTTAGGAACTATGTAGAGCGTCAACTATTGGGATCATTCCAGCAATTCGTATCAATCTGTTGACTGATTACATATGATAGCTGTAGAGCTGAAACATCCTGCAAGGCCTTTGAAAGTACACTAAAATATTTCCATTCATTGTACAGTTCATACTATATTCACAACCCGGCACCGCCCGCTTTCACAAACCATAAGATGATTCTTCGCCGTCTCAGACGCTTTCAGTTCCCTATACAACGGATTTCGCGTCCGTAACCAGAACGATTGATTCCCTACAAAGTCTCCCACATGAGACGCTCGGATATCCACAAGAGATGCAGTCGTGGTCGCCGTCGATATCGCCAACCCGGCTTCCGCTCGAATCTTCTGTACAATCATGTCCCGCACACAGACTGGCTCATCTGTCTTTCTGATCACGCCCTCAGAAGCTTGGACACTGCCCTCGGTCACGGAGGTAGCGAATACGCCCGTGACATTCCGTGTCCCCGTCTCCAACCCAACAATCGCGTCCAAAAGCCCAACAAAGAGGAAGGGGTGTTGAAGTATCTCCACGGAAAATGAGCGGCATGTTTGCCGGGCAAGTGTCTTGTATTCCTCGTCTTCCAACAGGCTTCCGAGGCGCAACAGATTGCGGGCAATAACCCCATTGACAGCTGGCGTGGCCGACTCCGTGCCGGTCTTCAGGCGAAGGAGCGGACCCGGAGCCCCTGATGTCATTGTGGAAGGTGTGCTATAGTATCCTGCTGGTGTGGTCCCCACATAGGCAAGGAAATTATCGTTCAGATATTCTAGCGAGAGCGTTAGCATCACAAGTCTTCCACCGACGCAGTAGAGAATACGTACTCTGCAGTTGCTCGGCGAATTGCAGGTAGCTGTCATCAAATGTAGCCTCATACATGTCCAGCAGCCCGCCGATCAAATATGCGTAGTCATCAGCAAAACCTGGGGTATTTCCTCTGCCGCCATCCCGATAAATGCGCCAGAGCTGTCCAGTAGACTTCTCGAATAGATTCTCCTTGATAAAGCTGATTGCCTTCGCCGCTGCCTCTCGGCATTGTACCGCTTTTGACCTCTCGATCTCCTCGAACAGCGCACTGCACTTAGCCAGAGCACCAATGGCCAGTCCATTCCAAGCAACGATGATCTTATCATCCAAATCGGGGCGCACGCGCGTCCTTTCGCGGTAATCCCGGAGTTTTTGCTTCGCTGTTCTAATGATCCTCACCACCTCCTCTTCCCCTAAACCAAAGTCCTTTGCAAGCCTGCTTGGTGTTACCTTGACCGATAGGACATTTTGGTTCATGAATTCATCATGTGGGTCGTTCTCAGGCGCGATGTTCCCGTCAGGAAGGACACCCCAATGACGGGCGCAGACTCCAGCATCACGTTGGCCTAGCACCTGTGTCAGCTCCTTCAGCGTCCAGACGTAGAAAGCACCTTCTCGCTTCTCGGTATCATTGGGCGTAGGCAGACTATCTGCGTCCTCGGACGAGTGGAACGCGCCCGTTGGCGACTGGATGGGTGCAGTAGTCAAGTAGGTAGCCAAGTCGTAAACCGCACCCAGCAGCTCGGGATTGTGGGTAATCCTGAATGCATCCACGTAGACATCCAAGAGCTGCGCTTGATCGTACAGCATCTTTTCAAAATGTGGCAGGCCCCAGTCGCCAGTGACACTGTATCGTGCGAAACCGTGGCCGATATGATCCCGGATACCCCCGCGCGCCATACTGATAAGCGTGTCAACAGCCATGGCAGTTGCTTTGGCGCATTCATCACGTCCAACAATGTCTGCAACCGCAGTCGGATAGATACCCAAACGTAATAGGAAACTCAGGTTAGATGGAGTGGGAAATTTCGGCGCAGTGGAAAAGCCACCGTGGAGAGGGTCATATCGAGAAGCAAAGTGCTGGTAGGCTTCCTCCAGAAGCTCGAGGTCCAAGTCCTCGTCGGCTTGCCGGTCACCTTGGTAGGAATGTGTCCCTT